TTTTTTGTCTAAATTAGGAGAAAACTAAAACTGGATTAATAGATAAATTTTTTATTCCGCTAGGAGATAAAACTAAAACTGGATTAATAGATAAATTTTTTATTCCGCTAGGAGATCTGCAAAACCGACTTTCGAAACTAGAAGTCCATCACCTTTTTTTGTGAATTTCACATGTTAGCAGTTCGAAATTGGAGTTTGACTTCCTTTACAAAAGAAATGAACTGAAAAAAAAGCTAGACCGCAAAAATCAAAAATGAGCGCTGAAAAAAAAATCACCTTTATAAGAAAATTCACTGTTCATGACTCTTAAAAAAGAGCAACCTTGAATTCGAGTATAGGCATTTTTTCCATGCTGAAGAAAAACTTGCTTTTTACAAATTAATTTACAACAAAGAGTGGAGTCACTCGATTAGGTCAAGTGATCAATAAACCTATTAAGCGAAAATTATAACGCATAGATTGCCTCAACATGAACCTGCTTTCTTCACTGCTTCAAGTTATGATTTAAAAAAGCTAACAATTGCTAAATACTTCGTACAATTTGTGCTATCGTAAATGCCTTAACTTCAGAGGATTGAGTGATGTGCGTTCTCAAGGGCATTCAAAATTTTAACTCCGCAGTTAAAGTCTGTCAAAAACATTCATTTCAAATCAAATTTCGATCGATTCTTCTTTCAAACAAATGCAGCAGACATGAAAGTTTCTGCTTTTCTTGTTAAGCAGTTAAAAACTAGCTACAGCCAAACAAACAGAAAAAGAAGGTGATATTGAAATATTATCAGCCGAACTATGGAAAAAGTATTTTGCTCTAAAACCACGATAGTTTAACAACAGACGAAACAGTGATTCTGTAAAACATTATGTTACCTATACAACTTCCAAATTTATAAAGACAAATATAAAATCTATATCAAAATAAGGTATCAGAAAATATAACAAATATAAAAACTATATCTTTATAGCTCTTAATGTTATATCTACGCAAATAAAGGTAAATCGGGATGAACAAGGGGGAATTTATTTAGCTTGCTATATGCCAAAAACTAATTTCAAAATCAAATACCTAGACCAAGTAAAAGAATTGGAAACATTATTTGTGGGTAGAGATTTTGAAAGGAAAAAAGTCTACCACATTATTTTCTTCTTATCCTTGGGTAGGGCCAATAAAAAGAAGGAAAATGAACGCTGTTGTAAAATGATACATTTCAAAAATTAGAATCACAAACAAGACCCCATAATTACGACTGGAAGAAAACCTCGATATCAAAACTTATTTCAAGATGAGAAATCAGAGAAACCGTACTAATGACGATAGTTCAGACAATCCGTATTCAGGATGAGAATTCATATGGAAACCATAAAGCTCTACGAAAAATATCTATTCTATTCCAAATTTGTGATATATTTTTAAAGTAATTATAAACAAATCGAAGTAGTAAAAAACATTGACAGCTTACAGGTCGGAAAAGTGTAAAAGAATAAGGAAGCCGAACAAAATTTGATTCAAAATTGTTGAACAGTTTTCAACTTTCGAAGAAACAAATATATCTTCAAATTTCTAGAACAATTAAAGCTCTTTCAATTTCTAGATCAATTTATGCTTGATACTTTCTGATAAAATTTACCCCATTTAAGAAAACCGGATAATTGTTTTTATTCCGCTGGGAAATCTAAAAGTTAAAATCCACTTTGGAAACTAGAACTCATTCACATGTAGTGCCATTTTAACTTTCATTCACATGTAGTGCCATTTTAACTTTCATTCACATGTAGTGCCATTTTAACTTTTTCAATAGGAGAGCGCTACTTTCCTTCCTTTTAGCAAATGAAAATGAATTGAACTTAAGAAACCAGACATAATGCTGGTGCTGCATAAATGCTACCAAATAAAACAGCTCTTTAATTTGCGCATTAGCTTGGAAAGAAAAGGCCTTCGTATTGTGACACTACGCTCACTGGATCGCTTGCGTAAAAAAAGAAAACTCAAAATTTGAAACCAGAAAACTTATCATAGCCAACATACAGTAGAAAAAGAGTCAATTAACGCAATTACGCAATTAAACAGAAAAAAACTTTAAAAATTCAACAAATATATCTGCCCTTAAAGCTCTTTGAATTTCTAGAACACCTTATGATTGGCTTTTTTTAAAAAAAACCCAATTTGAAAAATCTGGATCAATAAATAAATATATATTTTTTTTGCTTAGAAACCTGAAAATGAAATTCCATTTTTGAAACCAGAAGTCGATCACGCTTTTCGTGACCTTTTATTTTCGCTGTTCGATAGTGGAGTTTGCCTTCTTTTTAACAAAAAATGAATTGAACTTAAACGAAATCATTCAAACCATAATTAAAAAACTGAGCCTAAGCTTTTCCTGAAAAAACCGCGAAAAAAATCATCGCGACCTATAGGAATCTGAACTATGTTCATCGACTATTGAAAACAAGTTTTTTTCACCAAATAAGTAACATCAATTCCAAAAGACTCAGCCAGTTTAGCTTTGACGTTCGCTTTTTCCGGTTTAGCTTAGGTTTATTTTGGATTTTTCAATTAAGCAAAAACAAAGTCAACAAAAATTACAAATTAATTGACACCGCATTTAAAATTTCTCACTTTAACAACAACCGTTTCAAAAGAAATAGAAAAACTGTTACAATTTGCAAATCAGTAGGCATAATTTTTTTTACTAATCTCACGGTAAATGGGCAGAAAAACACTCAAGTATAAATCTGAACAAACTCTTTATTCTATAAAAGTCAGAAACGTGTCCTTTCTTAATTTTGAATTAAAATCTTCAATTTATTGCTATAAATAAAGATTATTCAAAAATTTCAGTAGTCTGAGCTGAAAACGAAAATCTAAAAAATCGGCTATCATTTCTATAGTAAAGCAGCCAGTAAACAGTTGGCAGTGTTAAGGAAATCAAACAAAATTGAAAAAATGATTGACTGTTTTGAAACTTTCGAAATTCGAAGAAAAAACATCAGTTGAAGCTCTGCATAAATCAGGATTAATTTTTACTAACACTAATTTCATACAATTAGCCTAATTACAGAAAATTTTTATCAATGGTAATTATTTTATTCAGCTGGGAAAGCTTAAAACTGAAACCCATTTTCGAATATGAAAATCACTTCTTTGTTCCCGCCATTTTTGCTTTTTTAAATAAAGAGCGTAATTTACTGGAATTTTAGGAAACGATTGTACATTAAAACTAAAAAAAAAAATCGAACCACGAAAAAAATCATCACCACCTTTATACGTGTACTCACTGCGTTCACTGACAATTTAAAAAAAAACATAAACAGAACAGGGCAAGCTGGAACACATCGGATAAAGTTAAGCCAGGCTGCGCGTATCAGTGAGAATCCCTGATCATCCATACCGACTGAGCTTTGTAAATCTTTATGAGCCGATAAAAATTCGCGAAAACTAGAAAACTAGCGCAACTTTCGAACCAAGATAACTTTATACAAGACAATCGGAGGTAGAAAAATTTTTGAATTGCAAGCTAAACCAACAATATCTTTCATACTATATGAAACAAAAATTATATTAAAGTCAAAATTGTCGAAACTAGTTAGGAGGACAGTATTACAACACTGGACTCATAATTCAGAACTATTTGACTGTGAGAAAACCATAAAACGATTACGATCTGCTGTTGGTGTAAATTACGATCCACTACTGTTAATTTTGTCGCAAAAAAGCTCAATTTAACCAAGTACAGGCCTAAAATTAAAAAAATAGCATAGCAACCTAGCCGACAGAAAATGAGACGAAAAAAAAAAACTATTCCGTTTTTTTAATACACAAAAAATTTCATATATTTGTCAGTAAAGAACCTCACTGTGAGCCGGAAATTTTTTAACCAAGACAAACACTAGTTTGGCACTTAGGCGAAGCTGAGCTTCGCACCACTTGCGATACAAATATGAATTAACAAGAAAATCAAGCGGAAAAAATTCATAAAATCGTTTTTGTCAATAGAAATGTCTCAACTGAAATCAAACTCCCGGGCTTTGTCGTCTCAAGCATGGGGATTACAGCAACTTGGAATAAAGCTAAGCCATTGAACTACGTGAACTAAGCCGACAAAAATAAACAGACGGACAATAGCACAAAAACTCTAGTTTGCTTAAAAGGGCCCGGCCCGATTCTAACCGCAAATCTTTGCCGTCTCAAGCATTTGTTTTATCTCTACGCCAGATGGTTGATTGGATTTGAATTATAGTTAACAATCGGTAACAATGCCGAAAAAACCTGAGCTGCATAGTAATCATTCGGTAACAATGCCGAAAAAACTCAAAAAAAAATCCATCTTATAAAAACGGTTAGTTTCCTTTTCCCCTCAAAGCACATACACCCGCACATAAACTTTTTCGAACGTAACGACGCAATAAGAGGCCAATAATTAGATATTAATTAAGCCGAAAATTATAAAACCAATAAAAAAGACGAAACAATGAAAAAACATATTGAATTTTTAACAAATGGAGCTGTTAAAATTACAAAATGAATAAACAAATTTCGATTTGGCCGGATTTTTAAAAGACTCGAAACAATTGCAGTAAAAATAAACGATTCTTCAGCGCTGCTAAAATAAACGAAGCTAAAATAAACTATTCCTAGATGTGGCAACTAACCGACAAAAAATAAGCCAACAAATAATAGGCAGAAATTTTTTGAGCGAGAACATTAACCGTTTAAAAAAACTGGTCCAGGTCAGATTCGAACCCAGGACCCTTGCCGTATGGGCGTTTACGTTACCACCAAGTTAAGTATGCAAGATACACTACAAAATTAGAATTTATTATGAAACAAGGTACCAAAATTGCGGACAAAGTTGTTTACGAAAAAAGTCTAGTACCCGATTTTAATACCCTTGCTATCGCAAGGGTAAATATAACTGACAAAATGATTGTTGATGAATTCTCGACGATGTAATTCAATGATTTTTTTAGACAAATTATTTTCCTTAGAAAACGTTGAAGTTCCGATTTAATAAGTTGCTAATCACAAGCGTAATGAATTTAAAAGCAACAAAAGCATCTAAAAACTGAAAATAGAGAAATCCACAAAATTGAGATATCCACAAACATCGATAAAAAATTGCTTCGTAGTGGATTATTTTTCTTGCATCTACTTGATCTTGCGATCTGTGCCATAAAATTTGTTCGTGATAGAAGTGCTCAGATAAAAAAAACTATGTAAAAAAAACATTATAGACAACTTAAAATTCAACCTTTACGGGCCATCTCTATCCCCGACCGCAAATATCTCGTCACTATCTGTAATTATCCTTCAGGTTTTAATCGGACAAATTCTTGGCGATAGTTAAATGATTTCGTCCTTAACTATTTTGGTATCATATATCATAACCTCAGACAAAATTCCTACGTTCTCAACTGTTTCCTTAGTCGAGAAGACTGAAATTGGTTCGTAAACAGACCATTACGCAACTAGATAGGAGTTTAATGAAACAGATATTTTGAACTTGCCTAAACATTTGGCCCAATTGGCGCCTATTGTCTTGTACCAGAGGAAAGAATAGCCCATTTTAAGGGGAAACCAAGACATTCCCATGCCTTCTTTCAACTCAGTTGCCAAGGTAGTTGAAATATTTGCCACTTTTGGCGCCTAGAAATCTCCCAGCCCAAGCAAACAACGACGCCCATGACCAGCAAATCCGTCAATTTTCTCAGATTGAAACCGATCAGCCACAAGACGTTGGCATCAAGGCAGTTAAAGAGCCCTGGCAAAGTACTAAAGCGAATATATTTACAGTTTGCAACAGTTTTTCGCGCGGGAATGAGAGGGATTGATCGGAAAAAAAACAATAAAACCTTTTGGAATTTTTGAAAAAAATTAGGTCGAACTCCATGAGGAAGGCGTGTGCCTACCTAAATCAGCTACGGCGTAAAATCGAAACAAAGAGGACAGGGTTGGCACGTTTTAAAATAGTGTGTTTTAAAACACTGTTTAGAAAGTTTTATAAAATGGTCATTTTTGCTGTTTTAACACATCAGGACGGTAACATCTTTTAAGTGAGCCGCTATAAAATTGTTCCTTTTGGCCGGGAAGTTTTTGCTTCCGATGTTCGGGTTCATGGGTCAAAAAACGATCCAATCCGCAATGAAGAAAGCCATAGTGTAGGTTTTTGAAAATTGCCCATAGTCCGACATGAACATGTTACATTATTCAGCGAGTAAACATTTTCCTGTAGAATCAAAATAAACCAATTCCTGTAGTATCAAATATCAAAACACTTCGCTAATTTGATATTTAACTATAGCCTGAAACTAGGGAACTTGACGTCCTTTTTTCCTTTAAAACGGTTTAAACGTATTAAAAACTTTTTCTATAGACTTTTCTATCCCTGAAAGAGGGTGAAGGTTCGAAAAATACAAAAAAAAAATCTCAGCTCGAGTTAAAGACATTCTGATATCTTAGCTTGCAGCACACTATACTTAGAAAATATTGGAAACAGAAATGAGAAATAATTCGCTAATTTGATATTTAACTTCAATCTGAAACTAGGGAAGTTGATATCCCGTTTTCCTAAATCGAGGCACTTGAGACAGCAAATTAAAATACTATTTCTTCAGCTGGTGGGAACATGAGTCAAATCTCAACTACGATGAAAACTAATATTTCCACAGGATGCAAAAGGCTGTTAGAGCTTCCTTTTTGTATTTCTCTTTTCCATTTTATCCCACTACAATAACACTTCCTTGCCCATTTTTGAAGCCTCTTAACAAAGCTGATTAAAAGTCATCAAAACAAAATCACAAATCCACCCAATCCAATTATTTACAACTTAAATTAAATTTTTCAAATTATTTCAAAGTTCACGTCTCGCCTAACAGACAACACTTTCTCTCCAAAGTTCAATGTCCAGATTTAAAAAGGCTCATTTGTTTTTTTTTCTCTCATAGCGAAATATCAACACCTATAAATTAATGATAGCAATCATAAAGGACATCATAACAATGCTGTGGGATGCCTGGATTTACACATTTACACACCCATCATTATTTGTAATTGTTATGTAGATCCTGCGTGGCTACTAATGATAAAGGGAGATTAAATTAAACAGCAAAGGGGAGGGCGGGAAGTGCGAGGAAAAGTAACTTTTTCACATCGTAATTTAACTGTCTTTCGTATGGGATACATTCATGTTTACTTCCAAATGGTGTAATTCGAAAGTGAAACCAGGCCACTGCTGCATATTCGAAATGACAAGACCATACAACAAAAAAGCAGAAATGATGAAAAATTTTGAGTTATAATGATCGGTAACAAATTTGGATGCTGTGTATGCCTACAATCACGCAAATCTTTTCTTTCGTGTACTTCGATAAAACTATAGACTGAAAAGACAATCATCATACCAGTCATAGAATTCGCACAGCAAAGGATAACATATAAGCAAAAGTATCGGACTGCTGAGCAATGCAAGAATTACAGAATGTTCAGCCACAAAAATGATTCCAAAAAAGGGATTTTTGTTGCAAAATGTTCTCCATTTTTTTGGATTGCGAAAAGGGATTGATATTAAACTTCAAACATATGGTGATGATTGATTAAGTCAGCCAGGAAAAAAGAATCACTTCATAAATTGAACTCTATTTAACAATTTTTTTTTTCATAGATTTAAAAAAAGATTCGGAAACCAAATCAAGACTGAATCGACCTCATTATGACACCTCACAGTAACTCCATTAAGCTTACTCTGATGCATTTAAAAAATAATAAAAACCATCTACGCCATAGTTCCTTCCCACTCCTTTAGAGAGAACAAAAAAGCCTTCCCAATTACAGAAAAGCAATGAACGCAATCATCGACAGCAGATGGTTGATTAACAGAAAATTCTTAAAAGTGATAACTCCACAACTCACGGGGTTTGCGGCGCAATGGTCTTGTAGAAACTGTTCGATGAAATATTTGCTCTTCCCATATGCATTCGTGCAGTCCCCCACTGGATGCGACTCAGTCAGGGGCAGGAAATGGGGACTACCGTAGACTGTGGCACTCGAGGAGAAGATCATGTCGTTGATCTTCAATTAAAAAACAAAGCATTAATAATTATGAACGCAGCAGCAGTGTAACAAAAATGCTAAAAATCACGAAACAAAAGAAAAACATTCAGAATCTGAGCCTCTCGAATCTTCATTTAGTATTTAATTTAGTCTGGACCAAATAAATTTGTTGACAGTAAGCCTTGAGTTAGACTACAAATTGCTCACAAGTTGCTTTGTATCAACGGGAACAATTCGGAAAAAAATCGATATATTCCTTCCTAGCCTATTTCAACAGCTGACTATTTATAAGCGACACTTTAGAAAGGATTGCTGACCTTGAACTCAACCATGCACTGTAGAATGTTCATTGATCCGATGAGGTTGTGCTGGTAGTACATGAGAGGGAACTGGACACTCTCGTTGACTGCTTTCAGACCAGCAAAATGGATGACACACAGGAAACTGTGCTGCAATAAATATGTAATCTTGACAAAAAACTACATAATTCTTAACAAAATGCTCAAAACTTGATGTCGTTTTTAATGCAGCATAGTGGATTAAAAGGCAAGAAACGTGCTTATTTGACAAGAAGAGGGCGCTTAAGTCAATTTCGATTTGGTTTTTCGGAGAACTCGTTTGCGAAAATTTACAATTGAAACAAATTTTGGCCCAGTTTTCTAGTGTGAATCTAGTGTAAAAAAGACGTGTCCGGGCAATTAACGCGTCAAAGTTTTCATCAAAAGGAAACTTTCCAACGGTTAAAATATATTGTTCCAACCACTGATTATTTTTATGGGTGTGTTTTAATTTTTTTTCACGCAAAACTAGGTATAATAGTAGAAAAAGTATAATAACACAGAGGCGAAGCTATAAATATTTTTAAAAGGGTAAAAAAGAAACAAATAAAATAAAAAAACAAATGAAACACAGTTGTGCAAGTGACGCTTATAGAAGACAAGCGGGAAAGCCTCAAAAGGGAGCTTCAAAATGTACAAAAACACAAATTTTGCATGTGAAAATTTGGAAGGTAAAAAACTAGGCAACCACACTGGCTGTGCATGAAATAAATTGGGGGTATAAAGCCAAATTGTTTATGAATTATGCATTTCAAAAGATGAAAAAAAATACTGAGTTAAAAGTACATGCAAAAATTCATAGTACATGCAATTAAATAGCCAAAACAGCTTTTTGTTTTAAGCCTTCTGAACCAAGAGTAGCAGTAAAATTGGCGACTTAGATTGAAAAAAAGTAACTTTGTAATCTCACACAACGCTCCATTTGTGTTATTTTTCCGACTTTCGAAGAAGTGACGGAATATTTGTTCTCGGGGTTGTGTTTTTTTCTCCAGACAAATTTCGACTTTTCAACTAGCAACTTTTGAAAGATTTCTTATCATTCAAAAAGTACTGTTGTCCTGAGCTCCAATTTAAAATAATATTCCACCTGTGATCAGTTTTCGCAATGTTTTGGGGGTTTAAAGATTGCCAATTTGGGACAATTAACAATTTTAGTTTATTTATTCAATCCTCATTTAGTTTTTGAATGAAATCAATTGCTTCATGATAAAATATGAAAAACTCACATATATGAAAAGCAGAAAAACTCACCTTTGAAAATATTTCTCTGGTTTTTTCGAGATCTCTAAGGTCCACCAAGTAGAAGGTCACTATCTTCCCCGTCAATTCTTGAACCCTCTTAAGACACTCAGGTAAGTCAGCATCTTCTAGGGGCACAAAAACAATAGATTTTTTAAAGAGGCTAAGCTTAAATTGCATACACAAACGCAATAACGGTGAAAGCATTCTCAAACCTCTAAAAAATTCAGACCGAAAATAAACCGGGAAAAAGAAAACTTCACAGATTGTACAATTCGAACCCAGAACTCATGATTCTTGTCACTCGTAGATAGAGTCTGCTTGACACCAATCCGTCCGAAATTATATCTGGAGATGACGCGAAGAAATTGATTAAAATGATTCTGCATGAGTATCAAAGAAAAAGTCACTATTTTGGGAATATATTGTGATGTTCCGATTTCATACAAGCCACTGATCTTAATTTGAGCGTTTTCAGTTCATACTCAAGCCAATACATTAGTGTGGTTAAGTGCATTTTCTTCTCTGGCGACACATTTAGATGCAATGATCGTTCGAGGGTTGCACATCAAGACATAAACTAGCACATCATTTCTTTCTTCTTTCAAATCAAATAGGGATGACTAAAGAAAACTCATCAAATCATCAATAATCATTAAGATAGAAATGAGATGTTCGATGACCGAGGGGAGTATCCCAGCCATTGGTTTACCCAGGGGGTGGGGGGAGGATCTAGGATTTTCACAAAGGGTACAGGCAAAATTTTGAAAAAACAGGTCAAAAAGCGTTTTTAGGAATTTTTTTAGAAAATTTTGACCAAAAATCGAGTTTTTTCGGCGCGCACTCGCCCCTCGAAATTAGTAAATTTTAGAAAAATTTCAGGATCCGTCGGCTAAAACTAGATATCCCAAAACAGCAAAAAGAGGACTCTGGGACGGCAGGGGGTCGAAACCCTGAGGGGGGAGGCGTCCACTCCCCCCTCCCCTAAATCCACTGGTGAGTTTACCTGCTTTGTAGGCATTGATGCAATTGTCGACCACTACAACCTCGAATCCCTTGTTCAGTAGCTCCAACACTGTGTGAGATCCAATGAAGCCAGCTCCTCCGGTGACTAAGATAGTTCCTCTATGTGGGTTATTTCCATTTGTGTCATTTGCGTGGTCACCGTTCGCGTAAGGCACCGAAGAAGGCGACATTTCGAATAGTCGACCGTTTTTTTTCTTATTTTTTTCCCAATAAATTATGTCCAGCACCGATTTGGTGACTATCTAAGTAACAGGGATATTTAAAACTCAAATGGTAAGTAACCAAAGAAGGAAATTATCTCCGAATAATGATCGAAAACGAAAAGCTAGTTCTATGATGTACCAAGTAGACTACAGTAATGCCACATATAAACACTTCTGTCGGCTAGTTATAATAAGAAATGGTTGATGCAATAAAAGTGATAGTACTAATGATACAAGAAGACGTGCATGGATCTCAAGTGTGTTATACCACGTCGACAGCACCAGTTTGGGGATTCTGTCACAGCTTACCAACTACTCACATTATATATTCATATAAATCTTCATAAGAAATACCACATTCTCCACAAAACAGTGTGAACGAATAATGATAAAAACAAACAATTTTCCTCAAGGATTTAAGTTTCAACGGATAACTGAAGTCCCCGTATAAAAAAATCCACCAAATGTCTTCGTTGGATACAATGTTTCTTTCAACTTCAGGAACTTCAGTGATTACGAAGAGTAAGGTAGCCTTTATAGAGGTAGAAGTTGATGCTGTATGTAAACAGGGAACCAGGTGTACCAAAACAATCTGAAACTATGAATAGTTATAACTAGTATGAGCAGATAAAGAATGAACATATTCGACTTTGACGTGAAACCACCGAGGTTGTACAAGTCCATATTAAAAGGTCACCGCGGTTTGTGTATTCGATTTGTTGAAAGATAGCTTACCGTGATAAGAAAAATAAAAAAACATGGATCTCTGCGACTTGTATAGATCTCCAGCTTTCGTTTTCATCATAAACTTTTACCATTAACTTAGATCATTAAGTCCTCCTTAGTTGGATCTTATTGAGAAACATGAGTTCATTCTTACAAATTCTTAGTGTTCCCAACTTTTAGATGGAAACACCCCTTCAATTGCTCTGTGAATTACAGTAATAGCATTGAACAGATCTAACAGTTTTCAAAGTAAAGATGTTAAGGTTAGTTCTATTAAAAAACAATCAATGAAGGCATGATCAAGTTGTTTCAGCTTGGGACATCGTTACAGATTTTCTTTCTAATTTCTGATCAACTTTATTTGGTCTTGACACATGATATGTTCTCGGGTCTGTAATCGACAATTGCTTGGCATCCTTGAAGATCATGAAACAGTCCCAATACTTCGAACAGAGCATTAGTCCAACCACCAGGGGCAAGTAGATTAAGGAGAATCGAAACAGAGCCCTTGCCGATTTGGAGTCTCCATGTTTGTAAAACTGATATCCCAAATAGGCAAAATAGGCATTCAAAATTGAGGAATCAAAGGCAAAGAACCACATTGTGAGTCCACTAAGTGGAGCAGCAAGGCAGATTGGGAACAGCAGTAATGTGTGTCTGAAGGCGACTCGTTTGCTAAGGGCAGGATCAGTCACTGACATCATCTGATATCCCGCTCTGGAGTAGTCCCCCCTCAAATTCCAGCTGAGGGCGTTGAAGTGGGGGAATTGCCACGAGTAAAGCACTAATGGCATCACCAAGGCTGCAGGACAGGCTAGGGAACCTGGATAACAACATACCAGTTGTAACATGAATAACTTTTCACTTGAGTTTAACTTTTTTTTACAATCAATAAAATTTAGATCAATTTGGATTTGAATCTTTTTTATATAAATGACGGCCAGAATTTGACCATAACATTAAACTGACAATAAAAATTAATTGGCGAAATTTTTTTTAGAAGATTCTTTAATTAGTTTTTTTTTCAACTTAACGTGAACAACATGAAAGCCATGCCTCAACTTTCAACCTGTGAACAAGCCATATTTATCATCAAATTAGAGATAAAAGGGCCACGAAATATTTTCTCCTTAATTAATTTTAGAGCCATACTTAAAATACAGACAAAGAACGTGATAATGTTTGAAAAAAGACCATGAGTGGCACAGCCATGAAAGATCAAGAACAACTCTCACAATAAATTGTAATAAAGAATTTAATGACAACGAATTCATTGACAAGCTGTCTGAACTTTCGCTGCTGGGAGACTTACTGACTTTAACCGGTTTTGAGCTTCTTAATTCAATCTAGTTTAACAATTACGGCGATTAATAGTTGAACTAAACCCAGACATAGTAGATGCGAGAATATGAACTGAAATAAAAACCGTCATGGAACCAAAATGGTTCTTCGTTCAACGTAAAGTAACATAATAAAATGAGGAAAAACAAAAATGCAGCTTTAGTCAGAAAAATTTGTCGCACCCGATATGTATGGGTTTAACAAATTTCTGTCCAGATATTTTCCTAGTGTCTCCAGTACCTGTGGCTGCAGTCCACCCCATGAGAGGAGGGAGGGCACCGACTAGACTGCCCACCCACGTGTTAACTACACTCTTCCGTTTGAGGGGAGTGTACACACAGGTGTATAGGAGGATGTTAGTCACTCCCAGAAGGGCAGTGGTGAGATTGGTGGTGGAGAGGAGGATACATGTGCCACTCACTCCAAACAGAGAGGCCAATAGCAGCGCAGTCTGAGGCGTGAGAGAACGCTTCACTAAACACAGACAACAAACTCAAACTTACTGCTAGAAAAAAAGCTGTGACGCTTTCCGCAAATCTTGATTAGATTAAATCTGAAAAAAGAATCCGATTATAGACTGAGTCGTTTCCATGAGTCGATACTTTTAAACAAACCACTTTAAGCATTCTAAGTAAAACTTATATTTTCAAAACTTCATATGCAACATTGAATTGGCAAAATTTAAGCCAATTCTGTTTAAAACAGTTGCATGCATGTTTTTGGTATGCTTTTAACCAATTGGTTAAAAGTTGCGGATTTCTGAGAAATTTATTCCTCCGCAATGAAAAATTCTTTCGCCCATCACCCACCTTGTTGGTCGGCTTAATTGACTCTCACCAGAAAATTACTGCAAAATTATTGCAGAACAAGTATATCTGCTGTCCAACTGTCTCCCCCGTCATTTTTAGCGAAAAAGTTTCAGCTTTGCATTGTAACAAACCTAGAGGTCTGTTTTGTGTGCGCACCATTTGTGCATCGTATGGCGCTTCTAGAAACTGGTTGATGGAATTGGCACACATCGAGGTCATCAGAACTCCCAGTGACAGTCCAGAGAAAGTGTAAAATGATAAATCCACTGGTGCTATTGCAAATCCACCCATCGAAGAGAGAACTACTAAAGAAGTGAGGCGAATTTTGCCCAAGGCGAGCACCTCTTTCAACAGTGCCTTAGGCGAATTAGGTCTCCCAACAGGCGTCCATTGAGGGTTGCTAACTGTTTTTTCTGATAATTTCGTCTCAAAAGACTCTTGTGATGGCTCTTAAATAGAATGAAACAACTTTTAGGTGTTTTTTTCCACTTTAATAAAATCATAAGCTCTTTCTATCACAAACAAAGCCATATGTCATCACAAACAATAATATCTAGGATTTCACCAATATATTCGTGTCATCTCATCGAAAAACACTGATTCAAAAAATTTCTTCAGAAGCATGAATTGCATTTAAAATTTAAGCTAATGACTGGTGATATCACGATTAAAGTACTAAGAGAAATATTTATATCTAATATTTATATGTCGCTGTTCTGACTTCGTTTAAATTTAAGAAACACGTGCAATTTGGTTTCAGAACTGCATTTATATTGGAAAGGAAAGTTAGAAAACCGGGAATTATGACAAATACAATTGTGTGCATTGGAACACCTAAATTTCACAAAATCGTCTGCCTACCAATGGCACAAGGGTTTGGCTGTGTGATGCCTTCATCTGGTTTAGGCACAAATAGTTTCGAGTACTGCAATAGATCCCCTTGTGATGACACTTGCGAGTTCTGATTGCGGACTGATTTGCCAAATGCTTCATCGAGATTGGCATTCGCTCTAGTTTCTGATCCCAAAACCGACTCCTTGTTGTGCTTCGTTTTAGTGTTAGTTGCACAAAACCTAACCGAGTAGCGGAGGCATAAGCGACAGGTTCCACTTATTGTTCCATATCCCAAAGAGAGCATAGCTCTTCTGCATTCAAAACAGGTTATAGCTGTTTCACTTTCATTTCAGTGGACATCCGGGAGCTCATAGTTCTGCCAGCAGATCTGAAAATACCATCACAACGATGACAACACTTCTTATTTTTCAAACTTCTTAATATGACCAATTGAAACTCACGCTCTTAGCTGGAGGACAACAGAAAACTCAACATAGCCAACTGCCAGTTGGAAAAAAGTAATGAACGCCAAAAAAACTGAATTGTTTTTGAAAAAGACTCTTTGGAACTTTCAATTTAAAAATATGCCCTCAAAGCCCTTTGATTATCAAGAACAATTCATGATTGGTCTTTTTCGATAAAAATAACATAATTTGTGAAAGTTGGATCAATTGGCAAGCTTTAAATTTCGCTAGGAACTTTTAATTTTGCTGAGAACTGAACATTTAAATCGAATTTCATAACAATAAGTCGATCAAATTTTTCGAGACCTTCACATTTTTGCACTTCAATAGAAAATTTTGCTTTTCTTTAAACAATAGAAATGAAGGGTACTGAACTCTAGAACTGAACTTAAAAATATCGGAATTCGAACCGCGAAGAATCAAAATTGAGCGTGAACAATATAATATCTAAGACTTTTGCTGAAAAAAAATCCCGAAGACCTATGTAAGGGTCATCACTATGTTCATTACTCTTAAGCAACATTGAAACGCTTCATGTTGTATAACTACGCTCAATTACCCTTCAGTAAAAAAGCGAATTAACACAGAGGCGAAGTTGCACTTCGCATGCACAAGCAAAAATTTGACCGATAACGCTACTGGGAAAAACTGAACGAGTAAAACTTTGAGTCTACAAAAAACTCTTAAGTGACACACGCAAATTATGAGTCTACATAACTGCTAAAGGATTCAAGCGCGAAATATATCGCGCGTTAATTGTCCCAAATTGGCAATTTTTATACCCCCATAACTTTACAAAAAAGATCACCGGTGAAATATCTTTCTGAATTTAAGCTCAGGACAACTATATTTTTTGAATGATAAAAAAAATCCCGTCAAAAACGGCTAGTTATAAAGTCGAAATTTGTCTAAAGAAAAAAAACCACCTTGAGCACAAATATTCCGTTAGTTTCGTTACGAAAGTCGGAACAATAATAGTCTGTGTTAAAATCCTTAGCATTGGCTGTACTTAATAGCTGGTTATTGATTAAAATGAACACTTTCAAAATGAACACATTTTATCGCAATAATATTTGCGTCGCAACAATATCTGCGACTTAGGTCGGAAAAAAGATAGTTGGAAAAAAGATAGCATTGCTTGTGTAAATATAATTACAGCAGCTACAAGGATTGAAACGAGAAGCAAGGTAATTTATTTTTTAAACCCCGGTCCTCCTCAATGCAGGATTATTCGTGAGGAAGGATGATAGCAACCATTTGTTATTACGTGTGAGAGACGCGTACCGTACCAACTCGGCTACGGCCGTTAAGAAAGTTATCATAAAAGCCAGCACCAAGAACCGTATGATACAGCCGATGAGAAATATATGGGCCCAGTAAAAACATCCGATGAAAAATTTATGAGATTCAAATGCTACATTTTTGAGAGATTTAAGGTCGGATTAATGAAACTGATTAGACGAAAAGGAAACCCCAAGACCATCTAAGTTTAAACTAAACCAACACTACGTTGATGTCACTGAAAAGCTGAATGTGCTAATTTATGACCACGAGATTTATCGAAAATCTCAACGTTCTTGGAAAGGTGAATTACAGAGAATTGTCTCCCGTTTTTGTAATATAATTTTTAACTCACGAAAAGCGGGCAATGAGAAGACAAGAGAAGTTCAAATAAAGCTAAATTGAAGCAGTTTTTAACTATTAACGTAAGTTTCTTATTTTGACTTACATTAAACCACTGAGGGTTGAACCGTGCAACGATTCTAGATTGTTAAAGACATAGAAGACAAATGGCCCACTGGAGGGTTAAAAAAACACCTCTGATTCACAAAAGAGTTGGTCAAACAAAACGACCATCATCATCAGTAAAACGAAAAAATTGTTCAAGATTTAAGATATAAAATTAATTTGGTACCGCTATTAAGCCAAAACTCGAGCAGCTTTAGTACAAAACCGAGAAAACGATTTTTCTGAACTTTTTCCAGCATCGACTTTCACTGCTATTCAATTTTAGAAGCGAGGCAAGCAATAACTAGAGATAAGAGCTCCAAAAAATCTTCAGCGAGAGCTCAAGTACACACATCTGGCTCTCGGATCATAAAAATGATGAAAGAAGGTGGTGACCGGCAAAAAAGACGACAGCCGTTAAGACGACAACTGTTTTTGATGGTACTTTAAGACTACTTAAACTCAAACCGCTTAAATTCGAACTGTTTATTTTACATGTAATAACGCTTATTTGTCGTCTTAATGTCCTGTAGTCTTAATGGCCTGTCGTCTTAGTAACCTAGCACCGGCAAAGCCAGGTACGATGAAATATGATTAAATTATTCTAAATCGTTTGGAAACGACACGCTCACAACGCTTCAGATACCGAAATACTGGCTCAAGGATGGCGAAAGTCAAAACTGTAATCTGCTCAAACGACTTGCTAAAAAGGCAGTGGGGTTCAATTTAATGTGCGGTTAAAAGGGCCGTCGATTTAAACAATTTGCAAAACTCAGAATAAAGCTTTTTTAGCGCAAACGGTGGTATCTACATGTACTAGTTTAAAATATGAATCTTAAACTCGTGTTCTCTGCTCAAAAACTGCTAGAAATTTCCTTCCAGGATAAATTATAACTTCAATAAATGTGTCTACCCTAACACCGCAGATGAATTAATACAATTGAAAAAAGTCTAACAAATCATGTGTAGTTGATTTATGACCTAACTAATTATAACATTATCTAAGATCATATTTTGCCTCACTTTCATTTAATGTTAAGTTTCTTGAATTACTAACCAACCCCTAGATGTATATGATTTTTTTACGGGCAATAACACTCCTATCATACTTTTACTGAAATAGATAGCTTACGTTTGCTTTCGTGAAAAAAGAAAATCTTTAATAAGTAAAGCTGAAAAACAGATAAATTATCGAAAAATGAAACTTTCCAAATTCATAGCGGTTTCCCTACTAAAACTATGGCGTAACCCTTATGGAGGTAACACCATCACAAACTGCTCTTCCGAATGAAAGCTCAAGCTCAGATTTGGAAATGCCAAAAATTTTCACAAAAAAAATCGAAATAATGAAAATCTTCATGAAAATGAAAATCTTCACAAGAACAACTGTTTTCCCCAAATTCATAGCGGTTTCCCCCAAAGTGAGGGCGCCGTCGCTTATGCAGAGAATACGCGCAACCTGTATTTGAAAGCGTAGTTTTTGAAAAGAAAAAAGTTAATAAAAGCGACCAAAATTTTGAATATAGCACTTTTACTGAAGCCAGCTAACAAAATGTTTGTTTCCTGAAGCTACCAAAAATTAGGGTCTCGCCGCTTATACAGGGTTGATTCTTGCACTCTGATAGTTTGATTAAATCCTTAATACCAGATCCAGCTAAGACAGCTGTAAATTATGCAGTAAAATTAAGAACAAAATAAATCAAAGTCATTATCATTTCTGTTACCACTGATTAGGTTCATTATTGCTTGACATTTCCCACCAATAATTCCAGTTAAATCCGATAGTTTGCGCTTTGCAAACATAAATGTTTCAACGAAATCAACTCGGAAAACAACAGTGTATGATTGGAACCCAATATTTTGAATTCTTGGAAAAGAAGTTTGATGCCCTCATGGACTGTAATTTCAAAGCAAAGCAAAACTGGGACCAGAAAGCTGATATCCGATACATAAAAACATTGGGATTTTTCGTTTTCGATGAAAAAAATATCCCTTCTTGACGCTCTAATTGCAAAAGGCATCTTTTAAAACTAAAATCAAGAACGAAAAGCTATATCAAAGCTTCACTTCATAAAGCGAGCAAGCATATAATATATATGATAATACATATAATAATAATATATAATATATAAAAAGCGAGCAGGCACCAATATTAGCGACTAAGGATCGAAAAAAGAATAGTCGTACTATTACACTACGCTGCCTAGTGTAAACAAAACTTTCAAAAAATTTGTCTCCGAAGAAAAATTTCAAATTACTGCTTTGAAAAAATTCGCATACGCCAATGTAACTCGAAATCCGATGAAAAAATAATAATCCACAGCCACAATTCTAAAGACAGTACATAACAGCAAATGTATCAAAACAATTGTTTCCGATTAATCAGAAAAATTACACAGACACCATGATTCGAACTGTTCTAAAACGATTTTAATTTTTCACTTCGCCCACAACCCCATTTTTTCCTAAATCTGTGAAATGCAGCGCACAAAAATCTCATAATGAACACAAAACTTGCACGTAATGCACTAGGAGTTAAGCTCAATCCCTAAATTTTCCACTTTTAAACAACAAAAAAAGTGATTCCGTAGTATAGCACTGCATTCCGCTTTTGCAAGTCGGCTCTAATCTATTCCAGCTTGGGTAGCCAGCTCAAAATTGATAAGGGTATTTTCAGAAAACATTTAAATTATACGAAAAAAAACAACAAAACGTCGCATAAAAATCTACAAGTTGCATCGGAAAAAAAGCTTCGGAAAAAACGTCAAGCCGCATTTAGTTCTACACTCTTGAGTACAGTTTAGGTGTGACTGAAAAAGATGTTTTCATATCAATATTTTTGTTATTTGCACTTAATGATTCTATTATAAACAAGTAAATACATACAATCATATACAATTAATTTAAAGTCAGAACGGAAATAAAATGAGCACCAAAATTTTTCAACATGAAAGCGCACCACAAATAATCCACCAGTTGAAGAAAATGAAGTGTGATTTAAAGCCCTATAATTTTGGTAAGACTTTGATATCAATAATTTTGTTTAAAAATCGATATCAGTCAAGTTCAACAAAACTTGAACGCAAGTAGTAAAGATACACTGTGTTGAAATGTCACAATAATAACGTAAATCGATCGATGAATATTCATTTGGGTTTAAAATTTCATTAAGTAAGACTAAACATCAGAAACTTTCCGCTTGATTTCTCCAATTAAATTAAAATACAGCCGTTATATGAACTATGACTGAGGCCAAAGTTCGCCATCTCAATAAAATCGATTTCATCGCAGTTGATCAAAGTGATGCATCATAGTTCGCGCAGAAGAAATTTCAATCGTAATTGACGTATTCAGCTCACGAGAATAATTAGTTCATGAGTGATGGTTTAGTGAGTCATGATACCAGCTTGGCTGCATGCAGGGGGTACAGTATGCACTTGATGAGTGACTTTTTGGTGAGGAATAAGAGAGCCAGAAGGTCTGCGAGGATGAGGACGTAGAGAACTGCTGGCCAACTGATGTAACTGCTGACCACTCCTGCCATCAGGGGTCCCAATGCAGCCCCCACAGACCCAGTGCCATCTATGATGGAAGTGACTGTTGCCAGCGCACGTGAACTGCTCCCGATGCTAGGGTGGGTTCCTGAAACCAAACAGTTATACTGAAATATAATCATTAAAATTATAATTCATCATAGGAAGACTATATTTTTGTTGACGGATATTGCAGAAAAAACTGAAGAAAACGTCGAAAGTGACTTGCCCAATAAACCATACTCAATTACACTCCAGCGCAGGAATTTAAAGACGAAATAAAAAACAAACTGCGTTTCAACATATGTTGGCTACAAAAAAATGAAATACCAGGTTTCTAATAAAGCTTATCCGGTTTTGAGTCTTGCTGTTGTTGTTGCAGCTACACCGATCTTTGTATTGAACATCTGATTGAAATGAGAAAATAATTATGTTTGTGAGAGATAGAGACGGTTAAGGAAAATTCGTTGACTTTTGGTTTGTGCTGATTAGGTCTTCTTGTCATATCTATCACTGGCATTCCCCAGGGTCTCTACCGCCAACACCGACGCATGAAAACAATCACCTGTTCCAGTGATATCGTCTTTTTGTTGGCGTCTACACCTCCTCTCGGTATAGCACGTTCAAGACGGAGATTTGCATGTAGTAAAATATGCCAGTTCCAGGGGCCAGAATTTTCAGCGCGCGGAGCAATTTTTAGTTAAAAGCGAGAACGAAGAAAAGGTAGAGCAATGTTTTGATTTAAAAATTCCTGAAGTGAGAAGTTGTTTTTAATCCATAGACATAACCATGCTTAGAGATTCTCTCCTAGTTTTCGATAAGCAGGTGTTCAAAGTCGTGCTTGAACTTATATTCGAGGGCAGGTCTGATAATACGATTGAACTGTTTGACACCAACAGTTTGATGGTCGGCTCCATTACCTCCAAAACAGGCAGAAAAAACTACTTCATCGAGAGCACTTCATTATTTTTTTGGACTAGAAGTATTTTCAGTTCACCGCGCAGATGTGATATCACTCTCATTAATAAGCACCCATTGTTATTCTTAGCGCATTGTTCTATTTCACTTGAAGGTGCTCTCAGTTGGTTTAACTTAGGCTGGGGGTCCAAATAAGAGCTGCAAAGTTCATGACGCTCCTCTCAATTTCCTTGTATGTTTTCTTGAGTGTTTGTTGGGAGCAGTCCCAAATTATGCCAGCAAATTTTTTTGACAATCAATAATTTGCACAAAGAAAAAAATTTGCTAAGCACAAGTCAAGGCAAGATCATTTGCACAGAGGCGAAACTGCGCTTCGCAAAAACTAGCGAGAACACGACAAAAAAGCTCTATGAGGTGAAATAGAACGTAAAAATAAGCCTGGATTTAATAAAAAGTAATTATGCCACGCGACAAATTCAAACCTGCAACCTAGAGAGTCCCTGAGAGTCCCACTCTCTAACCTCTCAGCCACAGACTAGTCAAAATAGTCAAACACTAGTCACAAACAAAGCAGACAACAGACACTATGAAATTTCTAATGCTAAAGATCGTGATTAGAGCAAAAGCGCTACCAAATGAGCATTCTTATTTGCGAGTTAGCATGAGAAAAAAAGGTTTATTTTAATACACAACGTTAATTTTATTGATTTAAAATGATACGATTCATTGACCAGCACGAATGCATTGCATGACAAGCTGACCTTGTCACTTATCCTTTCAAGTTTCGATATGACCTTGTTTAATCTCGAATTTGAAGCACAGGTGAAACGAAGCCTCGCGCCACTTTCCTTACATCGAAAACATAACAAAGCAAGCTATACAGGAAAAAAATTAGCCTGAAATCGCTATAGAAAAATGATTAACAACAACATTAAACAAAATACTCATATAATGTATTTTAACTTAGTCGACAAAAATTGGGTAGATAAACGAAGGTTTCGCAGAGAAAAAGATAAACTCGAAACCTGAAAAAACTGTCGAACGATAATTTAAAAAGCAGAATAAATCGAATAATGTCTGTTGGTCAACAGATCAGCTAAAACTCCAACCAACACCAAGTCCAGCGACCAAAGATTTTCATGGAAAAAGTCAGGTACCCGTGGAAACTTTCAAAAATTGAGCTTTACCCATTACTTAAGTTTCACCACTAAAATAGGGGGCTAGCCACTCATGTAAGTTCAAAAAATAGCGGTTTTTCTGAAAAAAATTGGGCGTAACGGTTTATGCAGTGAAGATTTTCGCACCATATTCCTCCAATTGCAACATTTAGCTTTAAATCATTGGGGCAATCTTTTTTATTTAAAAAGCTTCCAAAAAATAGGGTGTTAGCTGCTTCTGCAAAATAAATTACCACGAGCTGTTCTTTCGATTGAACCCATAACCGAAGGCCACTAATGCAGGGAAGACTCCCATTACCTCTATTGAACTTTCAACCTCAAATTTGAAAAAAATTTTTGTTTGTAAAAATTGCATATAACAGTGGTAGTTTCAAAAATTGGGTTTTCATACGACATAAAAATATTATAACAAAACATTAAGAAATCCGCGCTCGTGCAGTTAATAAATACATAGCCTGTTTGTTTGCTTGAACTTTTGGTGATTGAAAATTCCAGGGCAGTTTTTGAGAAAAGTCCAAAATATGCTAAAAGTCAAAAAATTTCACCAAAACGGTCACCAAAATAAATAATTTCAATTTTCCGAAAGTTATAATTTTTTAACTACAGGAAAAAGAGCCTACTGATTCATGCAGCGAAAACGCCTCAGGCTTTTGGTTCAATTGAGCTATTAGTCTGATCATCGGCAGGTTAAGTTCAAGAGGATCATACTTTTTTGTTTAGAAAAATGGGACGTAGCCACTTATGCTGGGAAGCGTCACTCAACGTGTTATTTCGATTGAATTCAAAGTCTCAGTTTTCTAAGGTTAGCTTCCCAGAAAAAAATCAAGAATTCAAAAAAAACGGTAACGAAATAAACAATTGATTTTTTGAGGGCTATATGTTTTGTGTAAATGTAGTTAATTGAAGGTGACAAGAAAAGGAGAAAGATCTCTTCTTCTTACCTAGATCTGCAGCTACTGCCGTTGTGATGAGGCCGTATGGTCCATTAACTAGCACTCCGCATATAAACAGCAGAGGGGTCGCATATTGGGCCCCAAAGTGCAGGTAGAGGTAGAGGGCAGGGGCGGCCCACCCCAACATGGCAGCGCAAACCGAACACCTCTCACCCGCGTAGTCTGTCACCACACCCGCTACTATACAGCCTAGAATACCTGAAACGAAACGTTCTCTTAGTTAAAAAAAGAACCAGGAATAGTTGAGGTCTGGTTAACTGAGATATTTGCTTAATTGACAGTTTTACATACTTAGAACTAAAAAGAATCGAAAACGAAAACTACAGAACAAATACGCGATTTCAAAATCCATGTTGCGAACAATCATTCTAAGAATCTCAGCGCGAAAAAAAATCAAATTCCTATTCCTACGCTGTAATTCAAAATCTTATGCTGTAAGACGAACTATCACGACACTGAATGAGTCAATCCTGCATATAATTTTCATTGAAATGATTTTTCACCCTCAAATATGTATTTACCTCCGAAGTCGAACAAAGTGGACATGTTAGCACTTTGCTGTGGAGTCGAATGTTCCGAGTGCTGAATGTAGAGGGGGAGCCAAAACAGAAACGTGTAGCTGACGAGTTTAGTGAAGAAGAGACACATGGAGTAGGTAACCACTCCCGGGATGCGAAGTGCCTCCCCGAATGACACGGGGGGACTGGAGGCAACGCCTACCCCATTACTACTGCTATTGCTGTTGATGCTGCTACCAATTATGCTGTCATTTCTCGGGCTTATATCTGCAATAAAACTTCTGCTATCAATTTAAGTAACCTGATTGGAAATTTTGATCGTATGCGATAATAGCAGATTCAAAATACCACAATTGGGTAGATAACTAGATGTTTTGCAGTTTAAGTAGAAGACGTCACGATGTACTTTTAGTTCACGATCTCTTTTCTCAGCCTACTTGGCGGCTTCCGAAACTTCGGAAATGTCTAGCGGAAGACAAGAAAACTTTAGAAATTTGAAAAAAAAATGTCCAAGAATTAAGTTGCTTTATTCCACGCGCGCTACCTATTGAACTAATGTTTTAATGCTGAATAGTTATTTGCTAGTTAGCAGATACATCACACTTACCAAAACTAGCTAAATGATGTTCACATTTCGGAATAAACTGTTCCGTTTGCTCTTTGTACGTGTCATCGAACATAACTTTCTTTGTCAGACCATTAGAGCGTCCCCGTTTCTTTTCCTCGTAGTTTTCTTCTTTGCCTTTATCTACTGGATCATTGCATCCTACATACTCCGGGAATGGAATTAGAAACAGGAAATTCACCACAGCCGCTACGCCTAGAATGAGACCAGGAACTATGAAAGACAGGCCCCACTGAGACTCGACCCAGTAGCCGGCGATGATGGATCCCAGAATGTTGCCCACAGGAGTATGTGAGTTCCACACACCCATCACAAACCCTCTGTTTTTCTTCCCGCACCAGTTGCCTGAATTTAAATATTGAATTTACCAAAACAAGTTCCTTGGAATTTTTAAGTCAACTTCGAGCAGTTTCGACCTTTTTTCAAAGTTACATATAATTGATAGCAATTAACCTTAAACGGCACAGGCAGTAGAAAATTAGGCATTTTCTTATAAAAGTGCAACGTTTTCAATGAATCGTAGCAATACTAGTTTACCTTAAATTATTCTAAAATATTTTTTGCATATTTTTTAAAGCACTCCTAGGTGTTTCATTTACATATATAAGCATGATCTTACCTAAACACGTGACCACAGCTGGCCATCCTGAACTCTGGAAGAATCCTCCGACCATTTGAACCATAAAGTAGAACCAGTAGATATGTAAGTTCAAGTAGAAGCCAAGACCAAAAGCAGCTGTGAAGATTGCACTTAGAGTGGTCCCCAAACACAGAAAAAGTCTGAGATCGTACCTTTCGGCTAAGTGTCCGCTTACGAACATTCCGAACGCATAGGAAAACAAATAGACAGAGTCTAAACAACTGAACAATGTCTGTCCATTTGGAGCATCGAATGGCGCCCATCCTTTACTATCGACTGCTGTTTTTGGGGAATCATCGTCCGAATGAAGAACGGTTTTGACCACACTAATTGGTTTTCTGGAGAGATGAAAACAGCAGTATGTTGCGTAGGTCAACGCAATCGTGAAGCACTTGAAGCATGCGTTTCTGAAGGCGAAGGAACAGGACCTCCGAGGCAGTATATACTTGGCCAAAAAGTGCGCCCCAATTCCCACCTGTCGTGTCTTCCCTTTCTTACCTCTCTGTCCGTTGTCTTTGATGATGACCAGATTGATGACCGAATCGGATTTCTAAACATGCATTCGATTTAGAATATTTTATTGAAATATAATAAAAATGATTTGATAATTAAATTCAATTTCCATTCAATCATTCAAAATTTAGGATAACTGAATTGATTTTTCCTATTTTTCAACCACGGACAGGATTTTAAAACACAAAATACGGCTGCCAAAAACGCCAATTTGGAAACTTTTGCCTCGAGTACCTATTGCCAGCCATAAAACGTCACCAGATAAAGAACTGTTTGGGTAGTGATGAAACAAAACTCTTGAGGACACGTTAGCAGATACCACACGTTAGTTGATACCACTTTTTATTACTGTGCAGTTTAAGAATCACAACTATCACAAAAAATATAGTTATTGAATCACTAACACTACAGTAGTTAGCTAAGTTAACCAGTGTACTATTTTATACTTTTACGAAAGGATTCTTATGGAAAAAAAGCATTAATTCAAATGAAGTAACATAAGTTTTATTCTTATGAGACTGAGGCGTTCGCTAATTTATGATTTAAATTTGACTCCATAGTTTAAAAGGTTCGTCCTTGCCTGCAGTTGTCGTTCACATTCGGAACAGTCGTCACTGATGCGCACCTGCTCTTGATGCTCCACATCTCTGTACAGTTCCACGTTGTTCGCAGACTTCGACTTATGTAGCACCATACCGCGAGACGTACATTGAACCCAGTAACTAACTGAATCGAATCGCAGATTGAGACAAGGCAAAATTGTGCAACTTAAACAAAGCCCATCCAGACCTAAAATAACCAATAATTACTTGAATCCTTTCAACACTTACCTAACAAAAAACTACAATATGCAAAGCTTTCGTTCAATGACGATTATTGGAAACAACATTTTCGACAATATATTGATCATTTTAACTCAACGTTAGGCTAACAAAATGGATTCGAATTTATGTACTTTATTTTAGGCGAATCAAAATAATAAAGAACGAACAGAAATCTCCATCAGCATTTCTTCCGACATATAGTTCAGTTGTTCAATCTATCAAAATATTTGCATCTAGATTGTGGATAAATAACGAAGACAAAGCATCATAGGTTGGGGAACGATTCGAACCAACACCAAGACTCGGACAACTCTTAGTGATACCAAACATAGATACAAAATACTTTCTTTTTTTTTCAAATCAAAGAAGATCCCATTTTGAGATCACAGAGACTTGTAAAATCTAACGCACATGTGCTTGATTGTTTACTGTCTTTTACTGTTTATACGCTAAAATCTCTAGATAAAACAAGTCTGTGCATAAAATAAGATCCATGATATTGGAAGTCTGCATTCCAAACAACATTAAGTTCAATAAGAATATAATGGCTAAAAGTGATTATTATCACATCAAGATAATTTAGGACCAGGAGCTGATTAAAGGAAGGGCCTCCTCGGAAAAATGCAGTCATACATTGCGTCCTCATTTTTTAGACTCACATTATCAGCTGACAAACCCAAAAATCAGCTGACAAATGGTCAGTGATGCCAAAATTTTATTTTTGAGGATAGAACGCCTGTTGAATATCACTGAGTCTTAGTGAAAACGGACCTTCTAAAACTCAACCCGTGGAAGCCATTCATTGCCTTGCCAGTACAGCGCTTTTGCTGAGCAGTCATTCCGATTTATAGTCGTTCATGCTCTAATGAGTGGTAAATGTCAGGGCTCATCAGAGTGGGCTATCAGTATTACCCCGTATACTAGGATAAAACGTAGATATCTGGTCTTCGGTTTGGCCTTAGGTTTACAAGGAAACACGGCAAGACGGCATCAGATATCTATGTCAAACTATGAAGCATCGAGTTGTCTCACACTGATGGGCGATGACTGTCTCCATTGATCGGATTCCGCGGGTCTTTGCTGGAAGGTACGCGTAGTCTCAGTCCTTGAAGGTATGTGAATAGTATAGTGTTAAAAAGTAAATGAAAAAGTAGTTCATGTATGGAACCTCTTTTCAGGTGCAATTTGATTTTCTCTTCCCTCGAAGTCTTGTCAAAAATTAATTGGTACAGTGCATTGTTTAAAATGCAATCAGTTTGGATAATTTTGGATAACAATTTGGCAAGTATACTTTCTCGTATTATGTTATGTCCCCCTCTGAGTTCAATTCAATACTCTTATGACTGTAATTCTCACATTCGCGATCGCAAGAAGTCTCATTTGTGAAAAAAAATCAAGAAAGTAATAATTCCCGATACAAAGGGCTACAATTTGGACAAAAAGTAGTTAAATATTTCAATAAAAAATGAAATGGTCCGAGAATCTCCGCCGCCTAATTACAGCTAGTAAACCAATATAACTAACTCCTGCAATAGAACTAACTCCTGCTATGTTTGACGTGCTAAAACTCCTGCAGACCAACCATCCCTTTGAGGTATTAAACACTTATCAGTAATGAGAACTAACTAAACTGTCTCTCATTCTTCCGCGTTCTGCCTACGGGTAGGCTGTTTAGTATTCTGTATTGTTTTTCTGCTTGAGTCTTAGTTTTAGTTGTAGTTAAAGTTATATTTAGCCCAACAAAACCTGGTATTCACTTTGGTACCCCCTACACAAAACCTTAACAAAATGATTCCGGTGGTGACACTATTTTTAATGTCAAAATCAATATGGCATATCTAGCTCGGATGTGCATATTTCAGCTCTGATCAAAATTATGTTTCATTTTCCAACTTCCAAATGACCCCATTCGCGTTCCGGGGCTAGCAGATCCTGAAAGATATTTACTTCATTCTAAGCCTCTAAAATTCCAGTATATCTAATTTCAATCACAACCTTACAGCTATAATGGTAATGTAGTTTGTCTTTCAGGGGTCCCAATAGGTCAAAAACAACTCCGATGAGCGAATTAAAAAGCCCGTTCATTCATGATATTTAAGAAACCTAATTTCGTGTCGTTCTCCTCTTACTGCCAGTTTCCTCTGGTACTATTTTTTTAAATAGTCTAACTGTCATAGCTAATGTTGACCCAATGTTAGATAAGTTTCACTGTTGTTCAATTAGCTACTTTTTATCTTCTGACTACTTTCCCACAGGATAAGTTTCCTCTCTATCACGAATGAAGTGATCGACTGCCATTTCCAAGGGTTAGGGACGGGCAATAGGCTACTTTCCGTAGTTAGCTCTGCCTTTTCGATGCAATTGGGACCTGAACTAGCAAAAATAAATAAGAGTTTATCGCGGTGTCTATTTTCAATATTCCGGGTAAGTCTCCCATGGGGTCCTTCCTATCAAGTTTCGTCCATATCCCATTGATACTTTCCCAATTTTAAGATCTTTTATCACTTCTCCCGGGATACGGGCTATTTATACCAGAAGGAGCCGCCGGAGGGATTACATTCAATATGGGCCATTTTTCGGGGCTAGTATCTGATGTCAATCCGCGATAAAAATCCAAATAACCTCGCACATCAATTTGGGTAATTTGTTTCCAGTCTATGGGTGGGTGGTTTTTCACGTGATATTAACTTCAAGTCAAACCGACAGGCTTGCTTAAACTATGCACAGAGGCAAAGCTTCGCTTCGCACCACTTGCGATAAAAAAATGAATGTCTTCGATTTTAAGCAAAAAACAATTATTGCCAAAAACAGTTGCAATGAAAGAACAAAATAATGGAAACAGAATTACCTGCACCATGAAAAACGTTACAAAGTTTTCAAAAAACTAAGAAACCGAATTGTCAAAAAGTCCTTTCTGCGGAACTAAGCCGACAAAAAAGAAGCAGAGACCATAATCTAAAGTAGCCAAAAATTTTTAATTTGCAAAAAAAAACCTCGCTGAAATTGGAATACTTCGCTTTATCGTCTCGTGTATTGGTGTAGTGTATTTTGAAAAAAACGCTACACTCAAAAAATGGGCTACGTGAACTACGCCGACAAAAATAAGAGACGATAGACCAAAAAAATTACAAAAACAGGTACCGACCGGATTCGAACTACAAACCTTTGCCCTTTCAAGCAAATGTGTTAACTCTAGGCAGTATGCACCGCATAGTAGATTGAACTGAAGCAGTAACAAAACCGGAAAAACCTGAGCAGAAACCCTTCATGCCATAAAAAAATCATTGAACAAAAAAATTGAAGTCTTCCATCCCCTAAAAACACACAAACATTTTCGGTCACCAAAGACGTAACAAGAGGTCACTGAGCCAATGTAAAACAACCAGCAATCTATTAGGCCGACAAAAGAAAAAGTGAATCGAGTTGGTAAAATTGTAATCAACAATAAAGGCAAAATTCGATTAGGCAGGATATTCAAAATTCCTACAAGCTCAAAATATATCTGTTGCAATCAAAAGGCCCAGTAGATATATGAGTCCATGTGATGAGTCCTGTGAACAAAGTTTTTGTTCGTGAAAAAATTTCGCAAGGCTAAATACATAATTTAGTTTTCCACTTCCTATCATTCCTAAGTTTTGGCTCCCTCCGTTCACTGAGGTCCGGTAAAACATTTGTGGAAGTCGGGATGAGGACTAATTACTTGGGACAAACTATCGGAAATAGAAGTGCAGTGGGTCTGGGATTCTAACCTTAAGCTTATCAACTAGACCTATAACATACCGAACTTTGGTCCCATTCCATGCGCCGCTGAGTTCTAATAGGGCAATTTGCACCACCGGGAACTTTTAGTTTTTTGGCCAGAGGTTCCGAGATATATGGATTGTTGCATGCCCAGCTCAAATCATCTCTAGTATCGGTCCTATGAGTTTCACAAGTAGAATCTTTATTTCCCATTTGGGTGGAGGATTGCCGACTTTACTTCACTTGGGTTCTCAGTCATAGGAGAGAGTAATTGTTTAAAGATTCGAGCTTTTTTGGAATTGACCGTCTGTTTACCTTTCTAATTATCGTATTGATTGCTCAACACCAAGCTACGAACTACTCATTAACTTTCCCCATACTGAATGCATTTTCAAGATAAAACTCTGTAAGTCTAGTTCTTAGTTTGAGGAAAATGTCTTAGAATCACCGATACTACACGCACTACAAAAAAACCGTTGGAACTAATTGACAAGTACTAAATGGCGCCGTACTAAATGGCGCAATGTGTACTAAAGGCGCCATTGACGGCTATATTAAATTTTTTTTCAGGAAGTACGCTGTTAAAATTGCATTTTCGGTTGCAACGTTTTAAAATTTGATAAAACGTTTTTTGCAGAGAATGGCCTTCTTAGTATTCAATGAGATTTCAGAATTTGAAGAAAAAAATATGCAAATGGCAGAAGAACTATTGAAAATTATTCTGCCTCTCTAAGACGACAAACCAAGTTGTATTTTTTCCTTTACTTGAAACTGCAATGCTTTGCTGAGCGTTGCCCTTTTTTGCGCACCAAGCTCCTTTTTGCCGCTGAAAATTTTCAATGTTATCACAATTGCAACCAAAAATGACTGGTCTCTGGTAAAACTCAAACTAGATATTAAATGAGCGCTGTTTCTCACATTCTATTATTGCCTTAGCAGAAAATGAAATATGTGATGAGACTGTATGTGTCCGAGACTTGGTAGAGTAATGGAACTACTTTAGAAGTTGATAACAAAAATATTTAACGGGAAGCGTCCTCTCACGTTCACTATAATACTACGTAAAGTAAGCATGTAAGTTTTTATCAAACACAAATGTATTTTGGCGCAGCCTCGAAAGGCCACTAAGGTTAAATGATAATTTAAATATTGAATAGAATCAACTAATCAAGCCACAGCTTTCGTCATCACTATGTGTTTCCAGAGTTCCCATCATCTGTATGCCTTCCATACTTTCCATCCGCATTGGCATGAAGGACTCTATGCTGGTATAGCCTTGTGGCATGAGCAGAGCCGGAACTTCTGCTGCCGACACTGAAGGGAAGTCCGACTGTTCATTCGTTGCCGCTGGGTCAAATGAGGTCAAAGATGTCATGATAGTTTGCGGACTACTCGTAACAGCAATCGATCCTGAAGATTCAACACCTGAAGAATTTGTAGCAGTTGGAGCCGTGTTGTTATTCCCAGGACTAATTAAACTTGGAGCCATAGCAAAGTCCAATTTAGAACCTCGATTGTTATTGGAGAAAGCGGCAGAGGAAACGTTTTGGAATACGAAAGACTCGCCATGATCACTCTGTTGATCACTTGTCAGTTGCTGAAGTTGTTGCTGCGAGGAAGTGTAAGTTACTATTCCACTAGTTGGCCTCGATACTTCGACGCTGAATTGGTGCTGTTGGTCGTCAATTTGGATTTGAGTTGTCGATGTTGGGGTTTCCTGTTCAGTCTTGGTTGTCTTCGATTGATCATCGTTTGACGAAGCAGCATCCGTATTGCTGCCGCTGCCACCTTGGGACGATAAATACGTTGAATTTGCTCCCTTTTCACCTGCGGACGAGTGTTTCAGAAGTGAGGAAGCGGGTTCTGATTCCAGTTTGTGGATGCCCATATAGTGCTTCTTCAAGTTACCTTTTAGTTTACAGGTGTACTCGCAAAGAACACAAGAAAACGGTCGTTCTACAGAATGTATAGACTTAGTGTGCACGTCCAAGCTGCTGTAATAGGGCGTTGAGAAGTCGCAAAGAGGACATTGAAATGTTTTGGTCGAATTCACTTTTCTCGGTGAAGATTGAGCTGGATATTTGTAGACACCTGATCCGTTATTGGCAAACGGGAACCCTAGACTCGATTTCTTACCACGTCCCCGTTTACGCTTGTTTGAATCAGTCATGCCATTCTCGTCTTTTATAACTTCGGAGTGTGTCGTGCTTGCACAAGTATAAGCAGGCGAATTGTTTTCCGGCTCCTCGGGACTGTAGCCAGACGTAATCAGACCCTGTTGATGATGGTGTTGCTGTTGCTGAGTGATGAGAATAGCCGGCTGATGTGCCAGTGATTCGATATTTGCCATGTTGATGTTCAACTGCTGCTGTTGTTGCTCCTCGGTAACTAGTGGGGGTGTGTTGAACGTCACTGTTTCATGGACAGTCGGAAATCGAGTCTCGAAACGAGGAGTGACGTCATTGCAAGCAATCTGTACGCTCGGGATTCTGAATGCATTCTCCTGCTGTTGGTTGTTGTGGTGGAACTCATTCGTGCGCATCTCGTTCGCTACTTCTCTTTTTACCACTATATTCGGACATTGGGTCGTAATTTTGTGTGCAAATGGCTGTGGCTGCACTTGCGGCTCGTTGCGAAAAATTCCTCCGTTTGTATTGCTAAAATAGATGATCATTTCTATATTTAATATAGTATGTATTTGAAGTCTATTTGCAAACGCCTGCATGCGATCCACTACGGTTAATCACTTCAGACGTGGAAGAAGACACTAGCAGAAACTGAATGATTCAATCCTTTTTTTACTTTGCTTTTTTACTGCTTAAATTTTACCTAATTATTCAAAAAATTATATTTTATATATATATTTTATATATATAGGGGCGGATCTAAGATTTTCTCGAGGGGGGGGGGGGGGGGGGGGGGGGGGGTCGGATTTCGAAAATTTTGACCTTTTTTTTAGGTCGATCAAATTGATTTTTCGAGCTCTTCCAAAGCACTGTTTTGCCCCTATTTTGGCTAAATTTTCTGCGTCGCAGGCAAATTTTTGAAAAAACAGTCAAAAAAGCCGTTTTTGGGCCTTTTTTGAAATATTTTTTAAAAAAAAAATCGCGTTTTTTTGGCGCGCGCTCCCCCTCAAAGTTAGTATATATTGGCGCCAAAGGCGCCTTTAGAAAAATTTTAGGGTCGGTCGGCCAAAAATGGATTTCTGAAAAAGTATCAAAGGGGGGACCACCAAAGTAAAACAGACTCAACAGATAATTTGAAAATTAAAAATAAAACCGTTTTTGATTCTAGGGTTGACCTTCAGTTTCTTCGTAATATACAAAAAATTTGAGTCTTGTGTGTTTTTATAGGCCTGAAATAAACGTCAATCATTTACATTTCACAAAATCTCTTGAATTTACCTTGGAACAGAATTGATCTTGACGCTTAACGAGCCGAAACATTTGTTCATGAACTTGTTTACGACTAAAAACTCCTCGCTGCCGGGCTCCTTTCCCGCTGAGTCGCCAGACAGGTGGGGCTGGTTCAAAGAAAGATCCAGAGCATTTTGCTGCTTGATCCTCTGGTCTACCAGGAAGTCAATGAAGGAGGGTTCTAGGTGCAGGGAAAGGTTCAGACCTCCGGATGCTTGGCACAGAACAGTCATGTTAGATCGAGTCAGTTCAGACAAAACACCCACTGATGAGCTTGCTCATATAATCTAGAATTGATCACTTCTTAGAACCAATTTCCATTATTAATTCAAAAATATTTCATTTTTGCAAATATTGTGCTGTTTGCTTCTTAGACACAGAGGCGAAGCGTAGCTTCACATCACTTGCAGTACAACACAAAGATTAAAAACGTAACTCGAGAGAAAATGGAAAACGTTGAAACAAAACTAGGTCTACCAAATTTTTCGCATATCTTGATAAAAGATCATTTAGAAAAACATACCCAGCAAAACAATTGAATATTAAAAGGGCACCGAAAAAAAAACTGACGAAGCGGAACCAAAGCCGACAATTCTAGAGCAGATGCCAGTAGTTTCAAGTCATCCCTGAAACTACAATGAAAAATACTAGCAACTATAATGAAACTGACTTACAGAAATAGAAAAAACCGTGATGTGGCAACAAAGCCGAAAAACGAAAGTTAAACAATTCAATTTTTACAGGAAAAAAATCAAATTCTTACATGCTGAAAAAACAAGGTCCTGTCGGGACTCGCAGCCGAAACCTTCGGGCGCGAAGGCGCTCTTTTTACCACTAGGCACAGAGGGAACGATGTTGGAACTTGTTAAGGTTGACTAATAAAGCAATAGTAGTAATAAGTGTAGTTGTTAAGTTTGAATAATAAATCAATAGTAGCAAGTAAGAATAGTATGTAAAGTTGTTAACGGATAAAAATTCAAGCACTTCGCAAGTGTAAAACATCGAATCTTTTATCGCTAAAATGACCCTTTGGCATTGGCTAAGTATTTCGCAAACGCAATTTTTCTCCACTCTCGGATCTTTCTAGAATATTCACCAACAAAACTACGGTTTTTACTGTGTTTAACAAAAATTTTGCAATTTATTTGATCAACCTAACTAAGGGCAAACGAAACTTTTGAAAGTTGCATTCGAAATCTGCGCCCCTCTCTCTTCTCCACATCTAGCCTGGCTTTTGCGATGATATAGCATCAAGACTGCAACTCGCAAAACAAGACAAAATATCAAAATTTTAGTCTAGCAAGGAGAGCCGGTTGCTGCGCAAAAAATTAGAGAGCGCTTTTTAAGCTGACTAGAATTGGGTAGAAATCCGCTCCATTGAATCGAAAAAATTGCTTTTGAAAGATTTTAGCTATACACATTTTTTTGGAACTTGAAGATTTTAAACCCTCAGAACCCAGTACAGACGCAAAAAAGATATCCTATTTCTGCTCTTGAAACAACGCAATATGAAGCTAATGAGCCGGTACAACATACATCCAAATCTTTCAATCCGCAACAATATTTGAGCGAAAAACAAAAAAATACAGTCTTCTGAACAGGACTTTAACTACCGAATACACTCTGCAAATAAAATATCGAGAGCTTGCGGGAGAATGCCGTATAAGCTGTCAAACATCTACAGCTCATCACATACCCTCACAACAAGGGAATTTTTCTCAGTTCGTCCCAAGAACTAATAAAACTGCCCCCTTAAACCGGACGAATTTCACTCGGCCCTTCGCACGCCAAAAAACTTCGCCCCTAAAACGGGTTCTTCAAACCATGCCCAGACTTCCTACTTCCCGCTCGAGCGTGCTATATAGAGAGGAGGGGTAGAAACGAGCACAAAGACGCTAATACTAAAAAAAGTTCCCCCTCGTCGATTTTGTCGCCAGAGACTCAGGGCTCGAACTATCCATCCAAGTCGGACAAGTCTCACTCATTATATCTACACCAACTGCGCACCTTAACAGGCCACAAATTACAGGCCTTAAGAAAGCAATATTAACACCTTGCTTCTCGCGTTCCAATTTACTCGCAAGTACGAATGTTCAAAATATATCTGTTTGTGGCTCTTTGTAGTAGTTAGAACATAGTTGAAAGATGCCCGATGGGAAAAGAGCCCGGCCTGAGGGCACGAAAAGCCCGATGGCAGCTCTTTTGCCCGAGGCTATCTTCAACTATGTTTTAACTGTTGAAGAGTATGTTTTTGCTCTTTCTGTTTTTGCGGCTCTATTTCCTTTTCCCCCCACCTCGTATGAGCATCAATTTTATGATATAATGAGTGGTTTTACAAGGTTAATTATGAAGACCAAATATGTTTGTCATGGCCGGATTAGACCGCATGCCAGTTTTCTTGTTTATTGGTTGGTGGGAACAGTAATTTTACTTGTAAAAAATTGCAGGTGGGGGGAAAGGAAAAAGAGCCGTTTTTGCTCTTTCAATTGTTATAATCAGGCTTCTTTCAAAAAAAAGAGACCGGAAAATTGCGAAAAGTGCGCGAAACTATGCAAATGTTCATTCATGCGTTCTAATATTTCATTTTTCATTCATGCCTTGTCGTGAAAGTACATGTGTGAAAGAGCAAAAACCTACTCTTCTTGGATATTTTATTGGGGAGGGTTCTCATGCTTGAAGGACCGAATGCTTGAAAAATTTCAACAAATCAAAATCGCTAAGCGTTCTTATTGGCTAAATGCCTTTCCCACAAAATCGAAGTCAATATTATCAGAAAATGTATTAAATCAGTTGAAAAAAAATCAAAAATGTTGCAAGTTGCGGGTTACAACCGCATTACTATTCAGATAATCATCAAGATTAATGAGTTCAAAATCAAAAGAAATTTTCAGTCTTGAAAACTCATCTGCTTATTATCTAATCGGTCAATATTAACACTAATGGCCTGGATTTTTTTTTCTTACTTTGAGATTTTCACAATTTACTTCGAGATTTTGAATACTCAATTCTGATTGTATGAAAGTAAGCTAAAATTAGTTTCAAGCATGAGGGACGCCACCATTTTATTAATCGAAATTCAGTTCAAGTTATCCACCTGTGGAGTAAGAAGGCATTTGGAAGTGGGAGTTGGGATGGGTTTGTAGAAGGAAAAAGACCTCATTTTCTCTATTTTACTTCTAGTCACTGCGCTTGCTCAATAATCACTTCGCTAGCTCTACAATCATTGATTCCCTATCTCCTGGCTCTGAAAACGATAAAAGGCCCAATTTCGGATTTTAAAAAAGAGTCCGATATACAAATCTATGATCAGTGATTCCTTTCACTTCAGTGGAAATCTTATAAGTTCAGTTTAAATATACAAAGGTTTAATATAATCACTTTTCATCGCAACTGCAATTCAAATCGCAGTTGAAGTAGTCCAATACTTATTAATTAATCACATGGCTTTTACTGTCTCAATTATAGCGCGGCTGTTGATGTTGAACAAATCCAGCAAGTCCGAACTCTTCCCACTGTAGGGCATGTGGTCCACAGCCATTCGTCTCACAACAATTCCAGTCTCCTCGGCCATTGCACCCGCAACCGCCTCTCCGATTCCCCCCTCCGGATAATGGTCCTCAACTGTTATGATTTTACCACCGCATGCTTTCGCCGATTCCAGAATTGTTGCTTTGTCCAACGGTTTCACACTGAACAAGTCGATCACTCTAATATTCACTCCCTCGGCTGCAAGTTTTGCATGCGCTTTCAGAGCTTCAACTAGAGTAATTCCAGCGCCGATCACTACGACCTTGTCAGTGGGACTTTGCTTCACTACAATTGACTTGCCAACAGCGAAGCCTTCGGATCCCGAATATAAAATTGGAGTATCCTCTCGAGTCGTTCTGATGAAACACATGCCTTTAGTATTTGCCGCCAGCTTCACTGCATGGGCTGCCGAAACCGCATCTGAAGGGTAAAACACCGTACACGTGGGAATAGCTCTGAACATAGCAAGATCCTCCAGTGCCATTTGACTTGGTCCATCTGGTCCGATAGAAATCCCACAATGGCTTCCAACAAGATTGACATTAGACTGCGAAATAGCTCCCATTCGAATGTGATCATACGCTCGACTGAAGAACGCCGCAAAAGTACTCGCAAACGCAATTGTTCTGTCTCGACATGCCATGCCAATAGCAGCTCCCACTAGGTTCTGTTCTGCAATATAACACTCCACGAATCGCTCGGGGAAAGCTTTCATAAAGTCAATCGAGAAAGTCGAGTTCTTGACATCACCGTCCAACGCAACAACTCGGTCATTATTCAGCGCCGCCAGCGATATTCCGTACGCCTTTCTAGTCGACATCTTAGTCGTGCCTTCTGGAATCGGATTCTTTGCAAAGTCTACATTAGCCAGACTAACAACCGGTGCATCGGTAACAACCGCTGGAGATTTGGGAAGAGTCACTGGACCTTCAGGTAGCTTTGCCAGCAAAGTGTTCACAAAGTTCTGAGGCTCACTCAGAGGTTTTCCATGCCAGTTCAGTTTGTCTTCCACATTTTCAAATCCTCGACCTTTGTACGTCTTGCACACCAAAACTGTAGGTTTGTCAGAACAATCAGCTGCCTTCAATGCGTCATTCAACGCTGGAATGCTATGTCCGTCAAGAATGATTGCCTTCCAACCAAAAGATTCCCATCTAGTAGCGACAACATTCACATCATGTTGGTACATGGTAGGATCACTTTGTCCTAACCGGTTCAAGTCAATAATGGCCACTAGATTGTTCAGTTTGTAGAACCCAGCAAAAGCCATAGCCTCATAAATAGAACCCTCTGCCGTCTCTCCGTCTCCGAGCAAACAGAATGTTTTGTAGGATGCTTTATCGAAATACTTGCCGACGTATGCCATTCCTGCGGCACAATTAATACCCTGGCCGAGAGATCCGGTCGCAACATCTACAAAATCAATCTTGGGAGTAGGATGACCTTCCAGCACGTGACCGGTTTCTCTGAGATGCTCAACCAATTCAGTTTGCGCTTTGCCAGTTTCTCGTAGCTTCAGAGCACCTCCATTCGCTTTGGCGTCATCAACTACAGCCCATGCCGCATAAAGAATAGGAGCTGCGTGACCTTTTGAGAGCACAAAGCGGTCACTGCTGAAATCTCGTTTCTGATCCTTGTCGTATTTCATATGGTGGAAAAAGAGAATAGACATAATTTCGGCACAGCTCGCACATGTCGTCGGGTGGCCACTGTTTCCAGCGGGATTCAGACTCGTACATTGAATGCTCAGAATTCGCAATTTGTCCGCGAGGTTGTAGAGAACAGATTCAGTTGCGGCGTCCATGTTTGCTAACTCAGTGGATCAAGTCGGGTCAATCAAAATTCTGAAAGGAGATGAGATAAAGAATTATTATAAATCAAACAGGTTTACCAAGATGTACTTTGGAATGGAATCAGTGGTCAACTGTAGACTTTCAGTAGTCACTCAAACAAGCGCTAAGTATTGCAATTGGGAGTGAACCATCATGGTCTTTCGTTTGTCTTCACTCTAACTCACATAGTACAGAAAACGCAAAAAATTTACTGCAGCATTGTTAAAGAACTTCAAAAATCAATGATTTGAGAATATTTTCTATTGAGTAATTTTGTTGTTTCACTAAACAACTAAAAGGCTGAACTTTCCGAGTTTTTTTAAGAAAAACGTTTGTCTCTCTGCGAATGTTCCTGCATCAAAAAATTACAAGATAGTTGTCACTACAAAGCTTTTGATCTGACCTATGTTGGAGGTAATTATTTATTTTACATGATCTATAATTTATGCGACTTACCGTGGGATCTATATTTATTTTTGAGCGAAATGTGGCAACTCTATATAACGACATGTGGCAACTCATTCAAGCGAAAGCTATGGAGTAAACTAGTATTTGGAGTTCCACTTCATTAATTAAACAATATTGAAACTTTTTTGAAGAGCAAGTTCAAATCAGAATCCTGCAAACAACAGTAAACTCAAGCAAGTTCGGTCATAGTTATTGTTGCAAAATTTCCAACAGGGACTAGCAATAACCCTAATAAAGAGCTACAAAAACCCGCAAAGGCGAAGAAAATCTTCAAACTTTTGTAAAAAGCTGAAGAATACGACAAGGGGTTGAGCCTGAGTAAACATAACTTATCAGAAAAAAATGAACTACAAGTCGAAATTTTGGAATTGTGGTTGACTGAGAGATGTCTGGTTTTCATTTTCGATAAAACCTTTGCTGTTTTGATTTCCTCATACCCAGCTAATTGAGAGATGAAAAATCGCAACTCAGCAACCACCTGTTGAAACCAACGTATAATAACAAAATATGGATGAAAATTTACAGAAAACTGCTTAGCCGGAAAAAATTAAACACGGAGATAGCAAGCAAACATTTGAAAAGACAGCAGACAGTTCCAGATTTTATCATGAAAAAACCATGAGAAAAACCAACATAGCCTAAATAAATTTGCAGTCACTTCGCTATATAACAGAATCAATTTCTACAATTGAAAACAATTTTTTTCCGAAAAAAATTCTGGCATTGCGCCTTTGAAGAAAAGCTCTTAGGCGTCTCGAGTATCACGGCACAAAAACAACGCCCAGAAAAATCAAAAAGTGTATTATCTCTGCTGTATTACGTGGAGGTGAAGTGAAGCTTCGCATCGCTAGCGATACAACGGTGTCCTATAATTTAATACCCTAAAACTTAACACAGTACATTTTAACACCTAGTCATTTTACTACTAAACAATTTAAATCCACAGCAATTTAACTCCTATTTTCCAGTTTAACACCGTATATTTTAACACCTAGTCATTTAATTACCAAAATTAATGCTGTATGAATTCCTTATCTTGACTCTTATCACATCAAATATAATCCTGCAATTAACGCACGCACCATAATGAAAAACTTGGTTTATCTTAGTTATACATCTAAAAATGAGGCTTCTTAAACTACTTAAGACTCTTATCGAAAAGTTAGTAATATATTTTCAATTACACTTTTCGCTTAACCATTATGATCACTAAAAAACCTGCTTGTGCTAATTCATAACAATTTGACTCAAAAATTCTGACAAAAAATAAATCCTGATAATCACTTTATACTTTACTCAAGTGATAAACAAATGCAAACACAATAAACACATTATGATTGAGTCTTCTTTCGAATTCACAGTTTCATCTAAAAACAAGCCAATTCTTTATGCGTCCAGCCACGAATTTTATTTCAAGCGAAAAAATAAGTTTACCGAAAATCGGATTTGCTCAAAATATCAAATAAATAAATGTCAAGCAACTGCCATTACAGAAAATTCTGAATTAATCGAGACGTGTGGCGAGCATAACCATGACATTTCAGCGGGAAAACCGGATGTCCGAAATGGCATAAAGCATTTAAAAGATCTCAGCGAAAGATTTACTCCGACTGTCGCAGTTGTCAGTGCGGTTTTGCCAGTTACAAACGATTTGGCCACTCAGTTTGGCCTCCCAAGTAAAGACAAACTGATCCGAACGGCTGCGCGCACATGTAAGCAGCTAGATGTGAATATGCCACCCATCCCCATTGCGCGAAATTTCCAGATCCCTGAAATTTTTGAAAAATTTATCCGGTATCACAATGGATCAAATAACCACGAGCGAATCATTTTGTGCGGCGACCCCGAAATGCTGAAAGTTCTGGAGAAGTCATCTTTCTGATTAGCCGATGGAACTTTTAAAATTGCTCCAAAAAAGTTCTATCAGGTATATTCAATTCATGTTAGTGTATCTGGCATTGTGCCAGCTTGCACTTACGCCTTCCTTCCTAAGCAAACCGAAAAAACCTACAAACGCTTTTTTGGAGCCGTTAATTAATTTAACACCCAACTGCCGGCCTGAAAAAATTTTGCTAGATTTTGAGCAAGCTGCTCTTCAGTCATTCCAAAAAACATTTCCCAAACCGTGAAGTTTTATTCCCATCGTCCTTTTGGAACCAGCGAGATGCGGACGTGAGTGGGATTGCTCATACAACAAATGATGTCGAGGGATGGCATTTCGGGATTCAATCCTATTTCAGCAGAGCCCACCCAAATATGTGGAAAGTAGTGAGCAGCCTGCAAAAAGAAGCTTCCGTACGATAACTCATTTGTTTTATACATCGACTGGCCATAAGTTCAAAAGTATCGAGTATTAAATGAAAGAGTGCAAAATATAAATTCCGTTTACGAAAACAAAACTGATTTTTTTCAGAGCGTTATCTAGTTTGTGTTAAACCATAGTAAAATTTGTCTCATTTTTGTTTATTTTTTCGTATTATTAAAACTCAAATTTCAATCCTACTTAAACTTCTTTTTGAAAAGACGTTTCCTTGCAGACTCCCGGAAACGTAACTAAACGCAAGAACTTGACTCGTGCCTTAGCAATTTAATCCCAGGACAATCGCCCTTATTTTCAGGATGCTAGGTTGGGACTACGGGATGGCAAACCCTTTAGTTTTGCGCTGATGTGCCAACAGCTCAAAAAAAGCTGACGAGCGATCAGGTTATAAGTCAACGTTCGAGAATGATTCTAAAAAATGATTCGAGACTGATTCTATTAGCGGGAATTTTAGGCTTTTGGCATTGGTTAGACCTTTTTTAAATTTCTATACTGAAAAGTATTGGCAAGGCTATTTCATTTCGGTTTGAAACGATTCATTGAAATTATTTGCAAGGTCATTTCTCTTCAAAACTTACACGAATTGAGTAGCGCGAAATTGTCTGGCTTTAAATGGCAAAAATCTCTCTTTCAGTTCTTTGACGTTTACCGAAGTCCCCTTTGAAGTAAGTTTTCTTTTCATTTTGGATTAAAACTGTGTCATAGAAACGGTTTTAAAATGTAGCGATGTTAAATTGCTAAGGCAACAGAAAGAAAGGAGTAAATTGTATGATGTTAAGTTGTTTAGAGTTAAAAAGGGGGGAACCGATGCAACACAAACATAGTTTGAATAATAGCAAACAAAAATAAGACGAAACACGAAAAAAAAACAACTGGACCTACCAAATTTTTCTGTTTCTCTCTTAATTTGTCTTGAATGAAAATCTTTTGGAGAAAAACCATCGAGAAAAGACAATCGCCAGTGGTATATTAGCGTCAGACCAAAATTTACGACGCGGTTACACGGCCAAAAAAACTTTAAAAGGTCGGCTTACAAACAGAACGAGTTTTGAAGCTTCCCTCAAAACATACAAAAGCAAGAAGCTTTTTCGCGAAATGAACGAGGCAAAATAAGACAGCTACACCTATATAAACATTGGCAACAGACAGTTGGAAAAGAGTCTATGAAATACTGACTTTCCTTTGAAAAAATCTTAACAGTCAAATTTCCAAAACAAAAATGGTCTTCAAGCTCTTTGATTTCTAGAACAATTAATCATTAACACTTCTGGGTAAATACGTAAATTGAAAACTGGGTCAATACGTAAATTTACGTTTCGCTGGGAAATCTGGTAATTTAATTCCATTTTCGAAATCTGAAGTCAATCACGATTTTTGTAACCTTTACACCGCTGTTCGACATTAGAGTTTGCCCTTCTTTTAACAAAGGAAATGAGCTAAGCTTCATTTGAAAGAAATTAAAACTCAAACCACGAAAAAGTCATTTTGGGCCTGAAAAATTTATAATTTTTTTTCCTGAAAAAAAAATCGGAAAAGCACAAACTATATAAGAGTCTAAACTACGTTTATAAGAGTCTAGACGAAAATAGTCCGAAACTTTTCAAACCGAACAAAGCAAAAAACTGAAACTAAATCAATTCGGAGCTGCTAAATTGACAACCAGCAAAAAAAAGGAATACAACTGGTTTTTAAAACACAGACATGCTCAAATGTATCTTTTATTGGTAATTCAGTCAACCCAAAAAGACTTAGTGATTCTGCAAGACAAGCTGCAATTTCAATTTATTACCTACAAAAAGCTGGAAAAAAATATGAACTCAAAGAAGTCGACAATAACGACTGATTTTTCCCCAGATTTCATCAATTTTTAACTCGTGAGCCACTTCGCAATTATAAGGAAACTGCAACAAGCACTAAAAGTTTGCAAAAAAGTAACATAGGTTAGAAATAGCATAGAAAAACAAAAAGTTTATGTGCCGCAATCGAAAAACCGACCTGTAGATCACGATTCTCACATCTGCGACATGGCGCTTGACAATAAGCAAATACTAGCTTAAAAAAATCAGATGTAACGCTTGATATTTAACTGCCGCATAGATTTTTTAATCAAATCATCAAACAAAAAATGCAAGAAGGTTGCGCATATTAATATTAATAAGTGTCAATGAAATGAACTTTTACTTGATGTGCGGCAGTTTAATATCACGCGTTATATCTAATCTTGAGTCTCACGCACTAACCATTCAGGCACGGATGCTTAAAATCCCCAAAACTAGCCACCAATAATGCAGCTACATATGCTTATAAATTGTCAATTCGATGCAGCAGAAGTAGCATCAAATACAAAAAGATACAATTTTGCATGTAAAAAAAACGCAAATGATAAAACCACATGATGTATAAATTATGCATTTCAAAAAACTGCGAGATATAATGAGTCAAAAAATTTCTGAAGTTGAGATTTTATGATTGTTATGTTGTTTGAAACAAATAGTTTTTTCGGTTCACTCGAATGAATTAAAAATGAATCAACTGTACAAACATATTTATTCGAATGTCAAAGCACATGTTATCAATAAGCTGTAAAGGTGCATCTAAATTTAAAAGGTGCAACGAAAAACCAAAATAATGCCAATGCGATGCAGCAAATTCGACGCAGCAAATATTGTTGCTTAAAGTCGCAACAATAATTGCGAGTTAGTCACCGCAACAAAATCGCAACAATATTTGCAACTTCGGTTGGAAAAAAAAGAAAGTTCGTACTATAATACATTGCTTCGCAAGTGTAAATAGCAATATAAAACATAGTAATCTCGAAACAAGAACCTTTAAAAGTCAATTGACTTTAAACAATCCTTGAAAAAATGCATGCCAAGATATTGAGTTTAAGTCGTTAAACGCAAAGAGATGCCCTAAATACATTGTAAAAATTGTGAATGATGCAAAATACGTGCACTGGATTCTCAGGGGACCATTTAGGACGGCAATTGTTCCGAACTCTGAAAATGGGGAGGAACTTTGTCTTCGGGTGTCTTAATGGTCTTCCACAAAAATCAATAAATTTGACCCAAATTGCGAAAACTGGATCGATAGGTAAATTTTTATTCCACTGAAAAAATTGAAACGAACATTAACTTTCGAAATAAAAAGACGATAACAGTTTTGGTGACCTTTAAAATTTCAGTTCTATAGTGGAGTTTGCCTTCCTTTAACAAAGGAAATGAACTGAACTTGAAAACAGTCAAAATTCAAAACGCTAAAAAGTAAACTTGAGCCTGAACAATTTTCAAGACTTTACCTGAAAAACAGAACGAAAAAAATCATCATGACCAATATTTGAGTCTGAACTACGTTCATCGACTCTTAAAAAGATATTGATGTTAATTAGCTCTCAACAGCTATCTCATTAAAGTCAGAGAAGCACCGAAAAGTCATTTTTCAACGAGAGCAAATTTAAGTTTTTCTGAAAAAAACATAGCCAACAAACAGTTGGAAGAGTCAATACATGCAAAAAAAAACAGAACAAAAACTGACTAATTTTTCCAACTTTTGAAATTCACAAAAGAAAAAGCGCGCCCTTAAAACTCTTAGGACAAAATTTCAGAACAGTTTATGAATGACACTTTTCTTGATAAATTTAAATCAATTTGAGCAAACTGAATCCATAGGTTAAGTTAAGACTTATTAAAAAAAAATCAACCTTTGAATTTCCAAATAAAATTTATTTGGCCTTAACCCTCTTTGAAATTCAGGACGAATTTACGATGGACACTTTTGTATAAAATTATACCAAGTTTAGAAAACTGGATATATTAGTAAGTTTTTAGTCCACTGTGAAAACTAACTAGAAAATTCCACTTCGAAACTAGAAGGTGTAACGTTTTTTCGCGCCACTTCCACGTTTTTATTTTGATTGGGTAATTACTTAACATTTTTCAGCAGATGAATTTAAATTAAACACAAAAAAGCAGATACACATAAGTGCATTCAAAAATGCATTAATATTTTTGAATGCGAATCTGTTGTTTGTAGAGTATTTTAATTTTTTTCTAAAACAGAAACTTTTTCCTGAAAAAAAAACACCAAAACTTTTATAAGAGTCACTGCGTTCATTCAATACATGATTATTCACTGCGTATTTGGACTTAAAAGTTTCATTTAAGTAGTGTAAGACTAAGTTTTACTTCAGGAAAACTAGTTTTCGAAGCTTTGTTCAGCGCTTCCATGACAATCAAAAGTTTTTAGAAAAAAAATATAGCCAATCAAGGATTGGAAAAGAGTAATAAACGCAAGTAAACATAAAAAACACTGGCTTAATTGAAACTTTGTTGGTGCTTCTTTGATAACAATATCCCAACTCGAGAAAACTGGATCAACAGGTAAAGTTTTTATTCTTCTGGAAATCTTGAAAACAAATTCCAATTTCGAAACTAGAAATCGCTCACGACATTTTTGCGCAATTTTCACGTTCGTATTTGGAGAGTGCTATTTACGTCACTTTTAGCAGAAGAATTTCAATTGAACTCAAAAAATGCATATATACCTAAATGCATTCATTAATGCATCAATATTTATGAATGCACATCTGTTGTTATTAGAGACTTTTCCAAAAAAACAAAAAAATCAGCAAGACCTATACAAGAGTCTTCACTGTGTTCATTACTCTTAAAAACTATTTAGCAAAAATCGTTTCTTTTTTTTTCATTTTTTGTTAATATATTTTTTGAAGACAAATGTCTAATTCATTAACGTTTTAGCAATTTGTACAGTTCTCTTATCACGCTGCGCACAAAAATGTCTTTAATTTGAAAAAGAAGGTCGCTAATCGCTACCATTCTAATCACCAATTTGGTGCTCGTTGATAAAAATTTGCGGGGTCAACTAATAAATAATTGAAATCAAATCACTACTTCAAGGCAGCTTGGGAAGTCAAAACTTTCGGTATAAGGACATTTTTTAAAACTACTGTTTAATTCAATGAAAAGTTTTTACTGTCAGACAACCCAATAGATATTGTTGATATATTTGAAAAACTGGTCACAAGTTTGAATCTCATTGTTTGAAACTAATATAAATTGAACGAAACGTTGAAACTTTATGTAGTTCAGTTAACAAAGGCTTAATTTTGGGCCGTATAACAGAAAACACCAGCGGTAAGCTCAATTGAGTGATCTTTTTTCAGGAACCCAAACAGGGCATGAATCGGCTCACATCAAGCTGCATTCAATGTCAATTATTTTTAAATATAAACTATAGAATTCACTTCTCGAAGAGTCATTAACAAATATGAACAGGAAAGTTGAATCTGTGTCTCTCAGCCTAGAAGACAAAAATGGAAAGCACCGAAGAAAGTTTCGGATTCAGGCAGCTGTTGACAGTGACAAAGGGTCTATGCGCAAACTGTGATATGTTACAATAGGTGGTAATTTTGAGTATATTGCATGTATTAAATTTGAGAACTATAATGCATAATATAGTCATTTCATTTTCAATCACTTTTACTACTGAGATAATTTTTGTAAATACATTATTCTGCCTGATGAAATGCTATTCAAAAATTCATATTTCACACTTCTGTTGCGAAAAAATTTGGCTTTTGAAATTAATTTTAAATGATGTGCGAAGTATAACAACAAGCGATCCAGCTATTGAAATTGAACCTACCACCTAATGTAATATATCACCGCGCAAACGTCCGAAGTTGAGCATTATTGAAATATGCTTATTCCAAAACACTTTATTTAAATATCAATTTTTGATACCCTACTTTGATCAATTTAAAGCCCAATTTTCGGATGTGATTGCAGTGCTCATCAAACAGCTGAAAGAGTCAGATGGAATATAAAAATAGAAACTCTGAACTGATCTAATTTACCTACAACAGATTTAATCAGGAGCGGATTGAGAAGACTCGAACCCCTGACCAAACAAAGGGTCCTTCGCCTTTGGTAATAGCTTACAATTTCCATTTTTGGTTGATAGACTCTCAACATTTTGAAGATCTTTGGCGCCAATATTCAGAATTTTGAAGGAGAGAGTGCTCGTTTTGAGGACAAAACCGTCCATAATGTTCTAAAATGTCATTTCTGAAAAAATTTCAAAATATTTTTGAAGACATCCAATTTTTTTGAAAAATATCAACCCCTTCAAAAAATCAGAGATCCGCCCCTGGTATTGTTAACTTAGTTAGGATGTGACAGCATGCTAGCTCTAATATAACAAGGTCGAATTGTTACTTGAAATTCGACTGAACAGGGAATATCCAAAGAAGACTGAAGGAATTATTCGTTTGACTCGAAGTCGCCATGTCCCTTTCGTTCCTGTCACTCAATCATCTTCAAGTCAAACTCAACAAGAGGGTTCTGAGTGATCCATCGATTTGATCAAAGATCCGATTCTGAAATAATCCATAGAAGTGAAATCCAAGTCTAGATCTGCATTATTATACATCTCAATTCACTTGAGCAAGATTATGGAACTAAATGGTACTCAAAAAGCGTAAGCAGCGAAAAAATATATATTCACAGAGGCGAAACTTCACGCCACTTGGGATACAAAAAAGCATGTTAAAAATACATCAACACAAAATCAAGCCGAACTTTCGCAAAGCCGAACTGAAAACAATATGATACAGAGGCGAAGCTGCGCTTCGCACCACTTGCGATACAAAGCAAGAAAGCCGCTACGTCGTAAAAAACTCAAAATGGAAAAAACTAGATCAATCAAAATGAATCAGGCTGGTTTTGAAACAAAAACATGCTGCACGACAAAGCAATCGAAAAATTAGCATCAGAAGAAATTTAACCAAGCGGTAAAAATGCCGAAAATACCTTAGCAGAAACCCTACAAGCCGAAAAAAATCAACAAGACCAAGGCTTATAAAAAGCTAACAAGTCCCCTTTTCCCTCAAATTACACACAAACACAATACTTTATTTGCTCGTGAAATGAAACAATATGAGACCCCTAAGACAAAAATATAGACCGAAAAACAATTCAAAAAAATTAAGCCGATAAACTATAGACCGAAACCAATCAAGCCGAAAAAAAAGCAGAGAAAACTTGTTGTCATGAAAACTTTGAACTATAATTTCGCTATCGATTTATTTCTTGTGCGATCCAGAGGCGATCAGAAAAACTACGTATCGAGTGAAACGAATTATCATTAGGTCACTAAGCCGACAAATTACATGTTGAAATTAATTGGGAAGAAAAAGTTTTCAGCGAAAAAACATGAAGCCAAGGAATTACAAATAGCCGAAGTAAATCAAAACACTGAAAAAAACCTACAATGTAAATTGCGCACAGAAAAAACAAATCTACGATATAAATACGCCGACAAACATAAGCAGACAAATCATGAGCCGATAATTTTTTTGAAACGGGATTTTTCCGTTTGAAAAAAAAAACGAGCTCGATCATTCTTTGCCGTCCCAGGCGTATTCGTTACCTCCAGACCAAATGTACCGGAGACGTTAAGAAGTTAGAATTTATTAAGAACTGAACCTAAATTTACCATTTCCTACTTAGACCATTCTGTGAATAGCTGTCTACTGGAAAAATGTCTAGTACCAGATTGCAATATAAAACAATCTTATTGCAAGGGTAATGAAACAATCAAAGACATTTTTATTTACAATAAAGTTATCTCATAGCACAAGAAAGGTAGAAAATTCGAAACTAAGCCGACAAAACATAAGCAGACAACTGAAAGGACTATGTGTAGAATTGATGCTCAAATGATTCAATGATTTTGTTAAACTAGTTGGTAGCCCGAAAAAGACTATATTCCAATTTGATAACGCTAATCGCAACCGTTAATAACACATTAATTGACATATATTCTATTGCAAAATTTTGGATGAAATCGACAATGGAGAAAGATTACAAGTGAGAACAATAACGAACTCTTTTTTTAAATATTGTTATTTTTAAGTGATTTTTTTAAAATCGCATAAAAATCAGAAACAACACTCAAAAAAATTTCAAAGATGAAATTGCAGAGAAGATGGGGGTAGCTTGAAGAAAGAGCAAAAACAGGTAAGACAATATTTAAAAAAACCTGGAAAATGAAAATCAATGTTGGCTCTTAAATTTTCCTAAAAAGTTTCCAAGCAAAAACCTGTTATCAAATGGACACTGATTAGTCTTTCAGTTCTTTTTTTTGCTATCGGTGCAACTGGAACGAAGCTCAGTGCATAACTTACAAAAAAAGCTTGGAAAAATACAGAAAGTTATTTTGCAAGAAAAAATTTTGTTAAAAAAACTAAATAAGAAAGAAAAAAGCTCTTAAAAACTAAGAACGCAAAAAACTTCACACATCGCAAGTTACATTTTATCATTCGGTACGTTTGAAAAGATCAGAATTTTGAAAAAAAATCGTGCGACGGAAACAGCCGACAAGAATAAACAGACAGACAGTAGTTCGAAAAACGCCAAAAAAAACATTAAGTTTACAAAACAAACAGTTTCTGACCGGACTCGAAATCCTGGCCTTTATCTTCGAGCATGCAATCTACGTCATATACCCAGATTGGTTCATGAAATTTGAATTTTTTTAACATAGCCAACTGACAGTTAGAAAAAAGTTAAGAACACAAAGCCGGAAAACAACCTGACTTGTGTTTTGCAAAACCTTCAACTTTTGAATTTCAAGACAGGAATGGCCTTAAAGCTCTTTGAGTTTGTAGAACAAATCATGACTGACACTTATTGGATAAAATTAGCCCAATTTGAGAAAATTGGATCAAAAGGAAAAAATTTTATTTCGCTGGATAATTTGATAATCAATTTCTTTTTTCGAAGATAGAATTCAATCACGTTTTTCCTGACCTTTACGTTTTCGCTGTTAGATGGTGGAATTCGCCTTCCTTTTAATAAAGAATGTGCACTGAACTTGAAAAAAAATGACAAGTCAAACAGCGAAAAATCAAAACAGCGAGAGCAAATTTTACAAAGAGGCGAAGCTTCGCTTCGCAAACACTAGCGAGAACACGACAAAAGGCAGCTCTAGAAAGTGCAGTAAGAAAACATAGAAATAAACCTCGAATTAGTAAAAAAAATCGGCTGATCAAAACGAACAATTTCAAAATGAACACTAATATTTGCGACTTAGGTAGGAAAAAAGTTCTTTGCTTGTGTAAATAATACACTAAGCTGACGCTAGTGTCAAGACTTTTCATGGAAAAAATCACCAAAACCTATTTAGAAGTACTCGCTACGTTCATTACACATACTAAAGAAATTCAAAACACGTGTAAGATTAATCACTAAGTTCTTCGCACGGGAACAATTAACGTACCTATTTACAAAACGCATGCTCTCGCAAATGCAAACAGCGAAATTTTCATTGCTATCGCGATCATTTTTTCGCAGCGATCAACTTTACCTTCCCATTAGACATAAAGAAATTAATGGCTCGTCGTTTTAATGATATGAACACAGCCAACAGAGAGTTGGAAAAAGAGTCAATGAACACAAGTAAACAGAAAAAAAATACTGATTTCTACTATCCAATTTCAAAGACAAAAATAGATGGCCTTGAAGCTCTTTAAATTTCTAGAACAATTTATGAGTCACACTTTTTTTGATAAAAATTCACCAGTTTGAGAGAACTGAATCACAATAGGTACAATTTGTGTTTCGTCGAGAAATCTGATAAACAAACTTTCGACGCTAGAATTCGATCACGTTTTTCGAGAACTTTACAATTTTGCTACTCGATAAAGGAGTCTGCCTACCTTTTAAGAAAGGATATGAACTGAACTTGAAAAAAAATCAAAATTCAAACCGCTAAAAGTAAATTTGAGCCTGAACAATTCTTAAGACTACCTGAAAAACAAAACGAAAAAAAAATCACCACGACCAATATGAGAGTCTGAACTACGTTCATCGACCCTTAAAAAGATATTGATGTTAGTTAGCTGTCAACAGCTATCCCATTATAGGCAGAGAAGCACTGATATGCAACGACAAGCCAACCCAATTGCAAAGTTTTAATTGAGACATTGAGAATTCACTCACTTTTTGATCATGTGATCATATATTTCCGAGGGCATTAGAGTGAGCGTGACAACGGGTCCTGCCTCCTCAATATACTTGGTGATTATTTTGTCCTTCAGTCCAATAACATTGCGTCCGTCCACTTCAACCAGCTGATGGTCAGTCACCACCCCGTTCCTCGCGGCACTCGACTCCTTCAAGATACTCACAATCTTCCCGTCTGTGAAACCGAACCCAGTCAGTCCTCCGGAGTCCTTCGTTAGGGTTATAATGCGCTCAAATGGTCTAAAAATAATTGAGCAATGAAAAACACTGAGTCAGTTTATAAATCCATTGAAACCATCATTTACCCTAATTTCAATTTCGCAACACTTAATGCAACACACGACTGGGCTTGGAACATCCGAGGTTCGAAACAATTCGTTAAAAAATTATTGAATTTCAAATCTGCAACGTCACATCAAATCAAACCGCCCAGCGACTCTATCCTAAATTACCTTGGATCAAGGACGACTATATTTCGGGTAAAGATCAAATACCTAAGCACAAGAAATAAGTACTTTCAACAAAATAATTAAAACAAACAGATGAGTTTTTCTGCTTGGAATATAAAACATGAGCGGGCTTAAACGCCTAATGAATCCAGAATTAATTAAGTAAGTACCTGTCGCGCATAGCCAATCGGATGTTATTGGGACCGGCCTTCTTAATGAGTTTGTGCACTTTGTCGGCCGAGTATCCAGCCACCACCTCGTCATTCACTGTGAGCAGCTGATCTCCAAACCTCACCCCCGCCATGGCAGCCGGACTATCTTCCGCAACAAACTGCACAAACACACCCTAAAACAACCACACTTAACCTGAATACGATTTACTCAAAATTAAAATACAAACTATTAATTAAACATGACCTCATAAAACTTTGGTTGCAAAGATCAGACGTGATTTGAGTAGTAATATTAGGTTCTCAATTTTCAGGTTCCCTGAATATCGAAAAAACTTATATTCTTGAGATCATATCACGATCAATATGTTCACGCACATTTCGTTCTCCACTTTCATGAAGGTTTCTAGGGGTACTAGTTAATGGGCAGTTAGATTTCGTATAGCTAATCCTGATGCAATATACGCACAGACGCGCAAAGCTGAGCTTCGCACCTCTTGCGATACAACAAATACAGGATAAAAACAGCATGAAGCTCAAGAAATAGCAAAGACGACTTCGAACGATGCTACCATTGGAGAAGAAACTAAAAAACACGAACGAAAATCTTATAATTTGTTCACTTTTTAATGTCTAAAATTTTTTCAGCGAGAACCTTGTGGGGTTTATTTTAAGCATTCAAAAATTTAGTGTAATAGTCTCATCGGTCTCAAAAGTATAACTGAAAATTTTAGGAATTAAATTATTGGGTAATTCAGCCGACAGAATAAAAGCCGACTGCCAGTAAGCTATCAATCAACCGAAATAATTTTATTGAAAATTTTATTGAAAAAAACATGTACTGCCCAGATAGGATCCACAAGTGCTATATATGTAGCGCATGAATGACGGTATACATAACTCGGAAACTAAACCGACAGAGCTTAAGCACAACCATGAAGTCGAAAAATCATCAGCAAAAAACGAAACCGAAAATCTACACAGAAGCGAAGGTGCGCTTTGCAAACACTCGCGAGAAAACGACAAGAGAGCTATTCAAATAAGAAAAGGTAAAAATCAGCCTTAAAGATAACTCTTGCTGCGTCGGATTCGATCTTACGACCAGGAGATTTAGAGTTCCCTCTCTTAGCAACTGCGCCACCTCCCTTAATAAATACCAACACAAGCCAAAAAAAAGAGCAGCTAAATATGATAATAAACTGCTAATGCGATGCAACAAAAGTAACATCAAATACAAATATACTGTTGTTCGAAACAGAGTTAATTTGAAATCATCTGTGTTAAATTAATAAGAATCGAAAATAATAACCGAATGTCAAAGCACATGCTATCACACGGTCAATGTAGCCAGCTTTAAATAAAGCCATCAAAAGTAGCACTACTATTTTCGACTTAAGTTAGAAAAAAGAATAGCCATACTAATACACACAGAGGCGAAATTAAACTTCGCGCTATTTGCGATACAAAACACGAAAGCCGCTAAATCGAAAATGTCGAAAAAAAACTAGATGCATCAAAATGAAAAAGTTACTTTTTGAACTAAACATGCCTATACAATAAAATGTGAAAATATGCACCGCAAGAAAATTTGTCAAGCGGTAACAAAGCCGAAGATACCTGAGCAGAAACCCTTTGGGCCGAAGAAAAATCAACGAGACTCAAGACCCCTAGAAATTCCCTAGACCTCAAAACACACTCGCACACAAATTTTATTCGCTCGCCAAATGAAAACATATGAGACCACTCAGACGATATACTATAGGCCGAAACCTATTAAGTCGGAAAAAAATAAAAGAGCCGAAATAAAAAAGTTTCAAGTCCCCCTAACCGTCAAAAGGCACACTCATGCAAAAAACTTTATTTGCTCGTCAAAAGAAACAATATGAGGCCACTAAGCCAAAAAAGAGGGCGAAACCTATTGAGCCGAAAAACAGGGACAAAAATTTAAGACTTAAAAAAGTTATTAAGTCCCCTTCACTCTCAAATCACAGACACTCACGCAAAAAAAAATATTCGCTCGTCAAACGACGCAATATAAGGCCACTAAGCGGAAATAATGTAAGCCGCAACCTATCAAGCAGAAAAAAGGAAAAGAAAAAATTAACAAATCGAGTTAGAAAAATTATAACCAACAGAAAAAGCATATTTCGAACAGTAAGATAATTATAATGCTAGCATGCACAAAATGCGGCAAAATTGTGGCTAAAAGAAGCTTCCAGGAAATGAGTCTAGATGAGTCCACTGAAAAAAGTTATATATGGGGAAAAAAGTCTGGTTTCCGATTGCAATACGCTTGCTTATCGCAAGGGTAACGAAACACGCTTAAGCCCACATGTACAAAGATTCTAAATACAGTAGATGGAGTTCTAGATATGGCATTTACCAGTAGTTACTAGTTGTCCGTAGTTAATTTTGAATTTTCATAATGATTCTAATTGTTTTGTTATTCAAGTTGTTAACAGAAAAGAAGGTCTATATTCTGATTTGATAACAGTTGCCAATCGCAAAGCTTAATTAATTAATCTGTTGTATCTTCTAAAGAAGTTCTAATTCGATTCAAACCTCTCGAAGTCTGTACCTTGTTGAGGTCTCGGAACTTGAGTCCGACAGTTCCTTTGTTGTCGTGGCACAGAGTAACCTCCGAAACACCTGGCCGAATGAGGGCTCTCTTGATGCCCTGGACATTCTGCGAGGACACTGGTGCCCTGGAGTACTCCATTCTCTCACTCACTTGTCCAGACTGAAACATCAATTGAACTTACTTTACACAGACAGACTCGATGGCTGAGAAGACATTCCAAAGTTCGATTTCAAAAGGAGATTTAAAAACTCGATTGTAATTTTCCACACGCGATAAAGTCAAAATCAGAGAGTAGTTATGATTTGTACTGAATTTTTACAACTTGGGCCTAGTGCGGTTAGTTCGACACCTTGTTGCTTACCCGTGTGTAAATAAACTATTTAAAAATTCTTATAACACATTCTTCTTCCCAAAATAAGAACCCAAAACGGGATAGAATCCATACTAACAGCTGGCGCAGCTGGACTCCTGTAACTCTGTAGACTCAGTCCCATGTAGTCATCCACAGTTGGGTAGAGTGACTGTCCGGCAGAAGAGGACGACGGAGGTGCGTGCATGCTGAAAGTGTAGGCTGACGCATCATAGCCGGCAGCAGGTGCACTAGCAATTGCATGCTGGTAGAGTGGAGCGGATGCAAAAGAGCCACTGCCGTACGAAGGAGGAGCCACGTACTGTGCCTTGAACAAAATTATCAGTCAAAACTTCAGAGAAAAAATCATTAGAATAGTTCTCATGCTTTACATACTCTCGATCAGCCGCAATGTCAATGACAGCTCTAATATACGACTGCTTTTTTCTCGAGAACTAGAGAATCTTAGTAAAAACAGAGGCGAAGCGGAGAAGCACTACTTGCTACTACAGACAGAATTGAAAGCTAGCGGATAAAAAACGAACCGATAGCCACGAAGTCAAATTAATATTTGGAAAAACGTCGAAAAAACATCTACAAAAATTTTATTAGTATGTCTCGAATGATGTTCAATGTCAAACGTTCAATGTCAAAGATCACACGATAAATGAGCATTCAGAAACATAACCGAGCTGCAACTAAGCCGACCACATGTAATTTGAAGAAAACTAGTCGTAAGACGCAATGCTGGGTATTAAATTAGCACTGAAATTTTCGAGCGTTTATCGAGCGTTAACTAGGCAGACAATGCTTGGGTAGACGGCCGTCTATGGAGGCACAAAATCTCATCAAAATGCATTGCCGCTTTTTATGCAACCTATTTTGAGACAACTAAGCCAATCAACATACATCAAGACATCTAAGCCAAAGAACCTATAAAGTAAAAAAATCGAAAATTATACAATATCTTGAAACTGCATTTTTACAAACGTTAGCTACAGCACTCAAAAGTAGTGATAAATCCCTGGTACTTTTAGAAAGCATGGTCACAAAAGCTAAAACACAGACAGTTAGGAAAGAGTCAATGAACGCAAGTAAAACAAAAAAAAATACTTAATTTTTTTTGAAAAAATCTCAACTTTTATGATTGACAGTGTTTTGACAACTTGAACACAATTTGCGAAAACTGTATCAAAATATTCAATTCGCTTGAAAATCTGGTAATTAGTTTAATTTTCGAAATTAGAAGTCGATCACAAATTTCGTGGTCGTTAAAATTTCGCTGTTCGATAGCCGAGTTTACCTTCCTTTGCGCTTAAAAAGAAATCAGAAGTCAAACCGCGATAAAGTAAATTTGAGCCCGAACAAATTAAAAGGGTTTTCCTTCAGAAAAAAACTTGAAAAATCATATATAAGAATCTGAACTACGTTCATCGAATCTTAAAAAAAGCAGAGAACCGATAGTACAAAAATTCAAGTTTTCCTAGAATATCGGTTGTAGGAACGCAAAGTTGGGAAAAAATCGTTCCTTATTAAAAAATCAATTAAACAGCGTTTATTTTATAAAAAACATGTTTTATTGTTGTTTTTACAGTTCGTTCAGTTCTAATTTTCTTCCCTCATACCGATGATCTAATAGAAAAACATGAGTCAGTTAATCATCTTTTTTCTTTTTGCTACAAAATGTTTAAGATGATCCGGTGTCGCATTGTAGAGATTGAGCCGACTCAATAAGGGAAGGCGACTAACACCCCTATTGCAGCGCTTCGATTCCCAGACAATGCTAGTTTTTTTGCGATAAAAGTTTCCAAATAAAAAACGCTGCTTTTTTATGTTCTGTTTTAAAATGTGTTTTTTGCCTAAACATGTTTTAAACATTCGCAACCCTGTAGAAAAGAATACAAACATCGGTGATAGGAAAGAAGTGTGGTTGGAGTACATGTTACACAGTCAAAATGATAAATAATAAAAAAGTTCTGGTATCTCGAAGTTCAACAAGTATCTCATTAATATGTTGCAGAAACTTTCAGTAACATTGATTATCGGGGTTTAATTGAAAATAAATCAAATTATTATAAAAAAGCACGCGCTCAAATAAAAAAACACTTGAGGGAAATGAACCGCAAAATACAGGAAGAAGACACGTAACTCCATTTTCACCATTCCTTTTTTAACTGATTTTTGGCAAAATTTCAAAAAGCCCATAGCACCTCTTACATTAATGTGCACATACACTTAAGATTTCACAGTCATGCGATTATTATCCTGAAAGAAGTTCAGGCACAGACAAACACGCACAAAAACTTCCTTTTTATATAATTTGCATAGATAACTATACCCTTATTATAGAGGTGCTTTTTTATTTTTCTTTTATAAATGAGCGTAGTAAGAACTTTGGGATTGGGACATACCTGTTCCATTTTAGACACCTTCATGTCTTCGAGAGTCGGGTAGAGCGACATGATTTAAATGAATAAAATCTGAAAAAGACAGGACACGGTTGAACTATTGAGACAAACTATGAGATTAATTAATTGTAATCTAACCAACTGTTTGTTCTGATATTGTGTAAATAAATAACTCGTTTCAAAACAAGATGATTGAGGGACCTTCAAGTTTCAAATATATACCATACTTTTCTAAAGCAATTATAAGAACCCAATCTAATATATCTTACAATTATTAAGTAGATACAATAGTAAACTACTGCGGGCTGACAATATAACATCAAAAATTACTATTGAATAATATTTTATATCGGGGGAAATGATCAAAAACGGACAACGAAACTCTGACATTAACTAGCAGTTGTAATTGAACAAAATTAGTCTATAACTTCATAACTGACAAATATGTCAATAGTAGAGCGCTGATTCTTTGACAGAGCGTCGCGAATTGGGCGCTTATCTATTAACAGGGCAAGGTTGCAAATCGAGACGTCTTGTGGATCAACTGCTGTTGTTCTGTAAGTGACTCGGAGCATCCGCAAACATACACTTTAATTCGTACGCCTGAGCCAGTATCTGGTTGATTTCATTGTCGCGCCAGTGGTATGTCGGTAGGTTCTGCAATTTCAAAAGCACGCCTTGAAAATCTTTTTCCTCTTTTAACTCACGGGACCAGTACTTGAGAAAAGCAGCACATACGTAGAGATGGAAATTGGAAAAGCCTTCTGGCTCAGACTGATAGGTGTCCCATAGACGGATAGAGCACTGGAGTGGTATTTCACGCATGAGCAAATTGTTCATCCATCTGAAAGCGAACTGCAGATATTCCACTTCCAAATCCTCCAAATGCTCGTGAAGACCACAATCTATTCGCTTCATGAGGTCTTTCAATGCTGACACTTTGCTCTGAATTCCTGGCTGGGCAAACGTGTAGTTATCCTGAATACCATCCAGTAGTTTAGTCAGACACCAGAAAGCATCCGCCTCTATGCTTCTAAGATGCTCCTCCTTTAGTTCCGAAATGTCTAAGTCATCTACGTACTTGTACCCATTGACTTCTGAGAGGAATACAGTGAAGAATGGCACTACGAGGTCATTTATTCCCTGCACATAACCACTTGCTGGATGTCTTATGGACCATATGTAGAGAATTCGTTCAAACATGAGTTGGATTTGAGGTTTTTGAAACAGAGGGATCAACGGCTTTGTTCTAGGAATGTCAATTTTGATCTGACGATACGTATCCTGGTTGAAATCAGTTGTGCCATTGAAAATTTTGTCCACGAATAAAAAATACTCTTTCCGTTTTCTCTCTAAAGTTTCTTTCTGTCTACTTTTACTTGTTGGCAGGTAGCCTGTTAGAAGACGCCACGAAATCGGTCGCAACTTGATTGGGATACCATTCCAGCACAGCGCTCTGAGTTTCTCTATATTTATTGGATCTTCGCTCAGAACTTCTTCAAACTTTCTCAATTTGATTGCCTCTCTTTCGTTCTTGTCTCTTTCTCGAGAGTTCGGTCTCGGATATGTTTCCGGTACGTCGGGGTCAAACTCCTGGCGGGCTTTACTTTGTTGGCGACTACTTCCATTGTTGGCAGCATTTGTCGGACTGGAACTGAAACCAGTTTTGTTGATCTTTTTGTGGTTTTCGATCACTGAATTCGCCGTACTCTCTGCTACATCTTGAAATACTTTTCCCAAACCAAGAGCCGTGAGGTCGTCGTTCGAAAACTCCCATGCATCGTGAGTGCGTTGTTGGAATTCGTCGAAGTTCTTGGCTTTCTGGTTTTTGGCGGGAGAAGATGTTCCAGTGCTTTGGCTGAGACCCAGCGGTGGATGCTGGGCGCCATATACTGGCTGAACTGAGCCAGGAACCCTGCTGTTTCGGTTCCACATAATTTATTCTTCGAATTATTTGCTACATCATGATGAAATAAACATACAGACACAGTCAGCTTTAGTTATTATAAAGTGGGCAATAAAATTTCCATCTGAAAAACGAAAATCGGATTTAGTCCATGTTAAATGTAAGTTAGAGATAAAAAAGCAAACAACGCAAGTTAAATGCCAATGCTCTCTGATTATTAAGAAGCGCTTTCACGGCAGTTAAATGAGCAAATGCTATCAAACTAAAAACGATTCGCTGGGATAATCGCCAGTTTTGGAACAATGAAATAGACAAGGTACGATTTAAAATTTGACCAACTGGGCTCAACCATAACAATCAGGCGGCGCAGGCAAATTTGAGAGAAAAAGCAACAAAAACTTTTTTTCAGAAATTTCTGTAGCTGTAAACTACAAAAAACGGGTAATTTTGAACAATTTTTAACTTAAATATTTTTTATTTTAACCATTTTTAACGCGCAACTTACGCCTCCTCAAAAGTGGCGTATACTGGCACCAAAGGAGCAGTTGAATTTTAAAACGGATGTTATAAAATAGTAATTAAGGCTGACGGTGTTTTCCGCCCTAAAACCACTCTCGGTTTGCACCAAACTGCAATTCGTGTTTAAAAACAAATGGACAAAAAAAGGAAGCAGATAAACATAAAATCATGAGAATAATATCTTACACAGTTATAATTGTCAAAAACTCAAAAATGATCACTTGGAATTCAAAATCACGTCATTTGGATGGCCAATGTTTTTTTGAATTAATGACCCGGGTGCCAATCCTGAAAGTTAATTATTTATATTAACTAAGCCATGATAAATTAATAACACAGGCTCTACTTACAAATCGCATCACGAGCGATTCCGAAACCATAATCTAATATGTCCTTTCGAAGCACACAATCAAAAGGATCAGTTGCCACCCTCGAAACAAAGCAATTTGAGGCGACTAAAACTCCAGCGAGACACAAACAATCCGGAACTTGGAGTTGATAATTTTACAACTTAATTTACATTTAATTTTAAAACAAACCAATTCCGAATAGAACAAATAGTATTCAAAAATGCAGACATGCTCCAGTTACGTCTGGTTGCAGTTAAATTGCAACAGAGATGGGAGTCCTTAAAGAGATAAGTCCTGTGAAAACGATTTTTATGTGAAAAATGTTAGCACGGTGTTAAATGCATTTACTTCTGCAAGCATACGAAACTTTGAAGAGAAAGCCGTTAAGAAGGGCTTAAGTATTCAATTCCGATACTCCAAAATATATTTGAAAAACTGTAATTTTTTGAGCTGACGCTTTTATTTCTTTTTTATATTTAAAAAAGCAAGATGGTATCAAGAACAATGATCACACAGAGGCAAATCGGCTATACGCGATGAATTTGCAGCAGTAAGGAAAATCACTTACAGCACGAGAAAAATTCGTGATGTGTTAACTGAGTCGGCAAAACTTGAGCAGACAAACGAAAGTCCGACAATTCAGTTTTTACCGGAAAATTCATTGTGAAACAAAACAGGATCCAACCGTGTCTCGAACGCCAGACCTTACGAAGCAAAGGCAACTACGTTACCTCTAGGACAATTGGGAATGAGCCTGGAAGTTTTTAAGGTTCAATAATAAAGCAAGCAAGAAAAGCAAGTAAGATTTAAAAGAAAAATTAATCACGGGAAACAAAGACCCCATTAAAAGAAACTTGCTCTCGCAAGTTTAAAAAAACTATCAACTTAAATTCCAAGACAAAAACTGGCTATTTAACACAAAAATTCGCTTGCATTAAGTAAAAAGCGATGATTGGCTTTTGTATGAAGATATTCCGTTCCAATAACCTTTTATGTTTTCAAATGAGAATAATTTTAAATTCAAGAATAACGATAAAAACAACTTTCAAAAATTCAAGAATAAGGATGGTACGAACCATAACACAAAACAAACAGACAAGCAGAAGAGTAAGGGAAAAATGTAGGCAACCACAAAAATGACTGACTTTTAAGGAGATCTAATCGATTTCAAAGAAAAATTGATCACCTTGAGAATGGTTGTTTTTCAAAACTCTTCATTTTTGGACACCTTCGCAATAGTTTCTTTTTAGATTTATCAGTTGAAAAACTTGACTAGTCAGAAAGGAGTCATGAAAGCAAAAATACAGAAAAAAAGATTTTTTTTGGAAAAACTTCAACAGAATTTCAAATAAAAAACAAATGCATCAAAGCTCTTCAAAATTCGAGAAAAATTTATAAGTCACACTTTTCTTGATAAAAATAATCCAACTTGAGAGAACCGGATTAATAGGTAAAATTTCTATTTCGCTGGGAAATCTGATAATTAAAATGCATTTTCAAAATTAAAAGACGATCATGTATTTCGCTATCTTTATACTTTTGCTGTTCGATAGTGGATTTTGTGTTCCTTTTAACACAGGACATGAACTGAACTAAACAAGAAATTAAAAGTCCAACTGCTATAAAATAAAAGTGAGGCTGAACAAATTCACCAAAACTGGTAAAAAAAACATTCACTGTGTTCATGACTTTTAATCAAATCCTGCTACAAACTAAAACTGATACACGTTTTTTCATGCAACTCTGACTGCAGAGTGCAATTTACATTTCATTAAACAAATGGGCTCATGAGTGCTTTTAATTTTCTGATTTGCTCAAGGATAGACGGTTGCTATGCAAGTAGCACAAATTATAGACGGTTGCTATGCAAGTTTCACAAAGTTCTGGCCACAAAAAAAACTTCTATTTATTTTTGCAGATTGCAATAATTTTTTGTGACATTAGGCTATGAGCGGATAAGAATAAAAGCCTAGAGAATACGCATAATTAAAAAAAATTTCTATAAATATTAAATTTAAAAAAAGTTTTGTATTATTTCTAATTCCGAAGAATTTCTTTTATGAAATAAGCGCTAAAAAGAAGCTTCAAAACTTGTTCCTTGAGGAGCTACGTTTTTTCGTCTCATTTGCGTATAATAAGCCTGCTCTACAAGCCTGGTGCAGGTTTTTCGTCTGATTGGCGTATTTTAAGCCTGTTTTACAAGCCTGCTCCAGATTTTCATTACATTGAGGATGTTTTTTAATAAACTTTTGAAGAAGGTTCGAATCATGCAAGGGCTTTCAAATGATGCATCACTTGATCTCTTCCAACAATGATGTGTGGTACCCGATACTTTTTTGGAAAAGAAACAGTAGAAAAAAAAACTTGAACACCCGAAAACAAGGTTCCTCCCAGCTTTCTGTGGTCGGATAAAACACGACCTAACTATGTCTTCACTGCTTTCATAAAAAAACTTAACTATTGCAATATACGATATAGCTTACACTTGAAATAATTCATTTGTTAAACGCGCAAAACAATACGTTGAATATATTTTTTTTATTATTATTAAATATGGCGAGATAGTGAAGCCTTGCCTTTAAATATATAATAGAAGATAGAAGAAAGTTTAAAAATTAGGATACGGGTAGACAGATATAATCAAATTAATTAAAAGAGAAGGTATACAGACAGATTGACAGACAGACTTAATTTGGCCTCGAAAAAAATAACTGAAAAATTAATGACTTAGCGGAAAGCTAATTGAAAAATTTTCTTAATTTTCTTAAGCACTGCAATATATGCTATAGCTTAAACATGAAAAATTCATTTGTTAAACATGCAAAATTATTATTCCTAAACATGGGAGATAGCTGTCACTCGCATTTAAATATAGTATAGATAGATAGATATAGATAGATGGGCCGACAATTTTTTCCAGCGCAAAATTTCCAGTTTGCACGAATACCAAGTATTGAACGGATTCGATACCAGAACCTTTCCAGGCAGGGACGTTGGACGTTATCACGTAGTAAAATATGCAGAATAAGAACTGAACTGAAACATAGCCAATCGAAGATTGGAAAAGAGTAATGAACTCAAGTCAACAAAAAATCACTGACTTAGCTGAAAAAATCTCCCTTTCGAATTTCAAAAAACAAAATAGATACCCTTTGAATCTTTGAATTTCTGGAACAATTAATGATTAGCACTTTTTTGATAAGATGAACCCAACAAGAGACAACTGGATCACTAGGTAAAGTTTTTATTCCGCTGTAAATCTTAAAATTAAATTCGAAACTAGAAATCGTTCATAATTTTACGCGCCATTTCCACTTTCGTATTTGGAGAGTGCTATTTACGTCACTTTCAGCAGATGAAATTCAATTGAACACAAATGCATTTATACTTAAGTACATTCATAAACGCATCAATATGTATGAATGCACATCTGTAGTTATTAGAGACTTATAAAACTTTTCTTGAAAAAAAATCAGCAAAACCTATATACGAGTCTTCACTACGTTCATTACTCTTAAAAATATATACAAGAAATTCAGCTGATCGTAATAAACGCGCGAAGAAAATTAGGGCAAAAACCCCCCGCTTATTTCTGCACAGCAAGTGCGTTGAAGATCCTTTGCGCCTCTGAAATCTAACCATCATTTGAAAACGGAGCTGTTTTAGGCGGGGTGGGAGCACGGCTTTTTTTTAAGAATTCGACTACCTTACCACACAACGGGTCACCCTGTGGTACCCTTTCATGACCCATTCAAGTCGAAGGACCCTAAAAATTTTCTTAAAGCGTCTTCGGCGCCAGTATAATAATTCGAGGGAGAGAGCGAAAATTTGCATGCGGCGCACAACATTTAGGCAAAATAGAGGAGTCCGGAAAATCTTTTTGATCTACTCAAAAAAAGCGACGAAATTTCAATTTTCTTAAAATCCCCATCGAGAAAATCTTCTTAGATCCGTTCTTGATTGGAGACATTAAATGAGCTTCAATGCAGCCAAATCTGTGATTTTTAAATCTTACTATTTCATTTCATATTCTATTTTAACTCAATACCATAATTTTACAATACGCGCTTCAAGTATTTTTTTTATGATCAGAAGAGCGATTTTCTGATTTCGATGTCTAACGTTCTTAAGACTGCTCATCGTAATTAATCAAACGCAACTAAGCAAGATACTTTCGCAGTGTAATTATTGGTGGTGAAATAAGGACATCAATCAGAAACTAGATTAGAACAGCTTTTGTTTAAATTCAATTGAATGAAGAAAGATCATTTACAATAGCTCTG